ATTTTAAATGTATATTCATTATTTAGCTCCCAATATTGACTCCTCAAAGAACATTATGATGGATGTATTATTATCCTAATTGTATTAATTTAGTATTAGTAGTAGTATTTTGAGACAGGGTCTCATTCTGTCACCCAGGCTGAAGTGCAGTGCAGCTTATTGTAGGCTCAACCTCCCAGGCTCAAGTGATTCACAGCCCAGGTAGCATGACTATAGGTGCATGCCACTACACCTGGCTAATTTTCTGTATTTTTTGTAGAGGTGAGCTTTTGCCAGGTTACCCAGGCTGGTCTGGAACTCCTGGACCTCCCAAAATGCTGGGATTACAGGCATGAGCCACCACATCCGGCCCCCTCCTAATTTTATGTGTAAAGAAACAGGCTCAGATAGCTTCCTCTAGGACGAAAGTGGAAGAAGAAAAGAAAAGATGGGACCTGCCAGGAGGATTGGCCAGGCGCAGTGGCTCACGTCTATAATCCCAGCACTTTCGGAGGCTGAGGCGGGCAGATCACCTGAGGTCAGGAGTTCGAGACCAGCCTGACCAACATGGAGAAACCCCATTTCTACTAAAAATACAACATTAGCCAGGCGTGGTGGCGCATGCCTGTCATCCCAGCTTCTCAGGAAGCTGGGGGCAGGAGAATTGCTTGAACCCGGGAGGCGGAGGTTGTGGTGAGCCAAGATCATGCCATTGCACTTCAATCTGGACAACAAGAGCAAAACTCCATCTCCAAAAAAAAAAAAAAAAAAAAAGAAAGAAATAAAGAAAGAAAAGAGGGGACCATTTTTTTTTACATAGCAGGTTTGGTGGTTAGGATACATTTGAACCAAGTGTTCCATTGCTAATAAAAACATACTCTCTGAGAGGACAAGGAGACACTGATCGCCAGTTAATGGAAGCTGTAAGAACTAGAGGAAGCCCTGGCTTTCAATACTTTGTATCCTTTCCTTATCCCATTGTTAGAAGGGATATAAAGAAGAAGGGAAAGGGGAGGAAATTATACAAGCAGGAGTTGACATTTCATCAGGCCCTTTCTGGAGTCCTTTTGCTGTTCCTCTACTCTGCTTCTCTCCTCCAACATGAGCTATTAGCAAACCTAGGGCAATTCTTCACAGGTGTTTTCTCATTTCATCTTCACAACAGTATGATGCACAGTCTGCTCATCACTCAGTTCACAAATGAAGAAATTGATGCTTAGAGACAGTATGTGAATACATGATTCTTTCCTGTAATATTGACTGTAGCCTTCCCCTCCATCCAATCTCCATCTTTTTTGACCCTTTCTGCTCTCAGCCATCCTCAACTAGATAACAGTGCTGTGCCAAAAACCTGTGGATTTTCTCCACAGAAATTATATAAGTACACTATATTTTACTTAGTCTGTATTGATATATATTAGTTGTACATATTTTGAGGGTACATGTGATATTATGATACCTCTATACAATGTATAATGATCAAAGCAAGGTAATTAGAATATCACATCAAACATTTATTTTCTCTTTATGTTTGCGACATTATGAATTTTCTCTAGTTATTTTAAAATATATAATGAATTATTGTTAACTATAATTTCCCTACTATACTATCAAATATTAGAACTTCTGTCTTGCTGTACCTTGTACCCCTTAACCAACTTCTATTCATCTCCTTCTCCCCATTACCTTTCTCAGCCTCTGGTAACCACCTTTATACTTTTAACCTCCATGAGATCCACTTTTTGTATTCTAGTTATTGATCTTATTTATTATCTCTCTCACCCCCTATAAAACTCCATGATATTTTGGGGGATGAGATGTTTGGCTTTTTTTCTCATCTCCATCCCTATGTCTTGAAAATTCTTAGAAGACAGTAGATACTCAATAAATAATTTCAGAATTAATAGGTAATAAATACTCATGAATGCTTTTCTCTATCTTTCCAAAGTCCTAATGCCTGCCCTGTTTGTTTTAAATTCTATTGCTTCAATAAGACAGTTTGAGAACTATCCTTTCATAAGGATAGTTCTGATCTGAAGAACTGAAGAACTTATAAGGTGCTAAATTAGAAGATATATTGCAAAGCCTTTATTTCAAATTGGCCAATATGTTTAATGAAAGTTTGACTTGCTTAAAAGAAATATTTATCTGGGATTCAAGTTCACTCCTTAGAATAGGTCAACACTTTGAGAGGGGGTTGTTTTTGCAAAATAAAAATTAAAGATTAAATGTTTCTTGTGGCAAATTTTGAATTTTATTTCCATGCCCTGATTCCCAATGACGTGACACTATAGTTGAGATATTATACCGATTTTCTCAATAACTTCAGAATGAATTTATATGTGATCAAAAGACCTTTCTGATTTCAAGATACCTTTAATAACCTTTACTAATTATTAACCAAAACTAAAGGCAGATTTTGCAAATACAAACTTGTCATTTCACCATGACTGTTATCTTTTTGATGGAAAAGATGAAGTTCAGCAAAGAACAAATCTACAACTTGGCCAGAAGACGGTAGACTTTGCCTTCAAAGAGCTGTAAAACACGTACATAAATAATCTCATCAGACCCCATCCTTGCTGTTGCAGGTTAATTAAGCACAGTGGGAGGGTTTGAGAGTATCCTCATGAAAAGACAATTTTAGTAACATTTGGGAAAAGAGCAAGGGTTAAATTTTATCTGAAAGACAAGTTTCCTTTGTAAGTCTTCAAAATGTTTTGCCTTTTGCAAAGTACAGATGCTGAAGCTGGCATGTTAACTTACTAAGTTAGCAGATTCCCCCTAAAACACGATGCCCTAAAGCCAGGCAGAGGGTAGAATTGGCAAACAGAGAGCATTAACTGTATGCTTCTTGAAACAATCAGTGAATGCGAACTGAATTGCCCTGGGTCAGCAGCAAGCAAGAACAATCAGAAAGGTGAAGGCAAGAATGTCCATGTTTATATAAAGAGGATGACATTGTTCTGCCCTAAAAAGAGCTAACTCTGTATAATCTCATGTTTTCCTTTGATATTCTAAATTATACTGAAAATATACTTCCTTTTTTTTTGAGACAGAGTCTCACTCTGTTGCCCAGGCTGCAGTGCAATGGCATGATCTCAGCTTACTGCAACCTTCACCTCCCAGGTTCAAGCAACTCTCATGCTTCAGCTTCCCAAGTACCTGGGATTACAGGCATGCACCACCACTCCTGGCTAATTTTTACATTTTTGATAGAGATGGGGTTTCACCATGTTGGCCAGGCTGATCTCAGACTCCTGACCTCAGGTAATCTACCTGCCTTGGCCTCCCAAAGTGCTGGGATTACAGGGATGAGCCACCGTGCCTGGCAAAAATATTACTTTCTAAATGATACTTACCTGTTAGCTTGGGGACATTTATTTAATTATACTACTTCAGTAGTAGAATACCTATTTCTATTACTAATAGTAGTACTATAGTAATACTAATCATAATGATAGTAGTAATAGTAATAACTAGTAATTATAATACTCTAATGATAGTAGCAATAGTAATATTAATAGTATTAGTAATGCTACTATTAGTATTGCTATTGCTACTAATATTACTATCGCTACTACTATTACTATATTGGTATTGGTATTATTACTGCTATTAGTAATACTAGCACTGTCATTACTAATAGTGCTACAATTAGCAATACTAGTGCTACTAGTAATATTGGTACTAATATTAGTGTTATTAGTAATAGTTGTACTATTAATACTAATATTAGTAGGTAGTCCTAATAATATTGTTATTGTTACTAATAGTAGTATTCTATTACTATTCTGTCATTCAAGTAATAGCAATTTTAGTAATAGAATACCTTAAAGCTGCATTTTTCAGAAATGATCACTTCAGCTTCACTTTTTTCTTTCACCCAATTTTTCACCCAGTTTCTTATATTATAACTGACGTCTTCATTCTGAGTCTTTAAAGGACAATGTGAAGCAGTACATGCATATGACAGAAAATTTTCAAAAGTACCTATATTCAAATACATTCAAGTTGCATTTGATTCAGATCATTGTAAAACATATTTCCTCTGTCCTGGTTGGCAGAGCACATTCAGCAGGGTGAAAACCCAGCATAGAACCGTCCCTGAGCCACTGATAACCGCAACCCAGTGTGGCAGCCTTCACCTCTGTGTATGTGGGAAACTCCAGGGCCTCACACTCCCACAGCTTAGAACCTTCAAAATGGATATTATCTTGTTCTGGGAACCTGTGGATATGAGCAACCATCACCAAATCTTGTTCCCAAAATAGAAAATATAGACAATGAAATGCTGAAATTATATATTTATATCTGTATACACAAACATGAACATATGTAAACTTTCATCACTTTTTAGAATTTACAGAAGTTTCATTGTACTCTACCGAACACGTCTGTGGTATGTGATCTGGATGTTAGCAAACCCTTCCACGTCAACTCAAAAGCATCCATTGTTCTTGCTTTGTTAAAATTAATGTCACATTTTTATTACATAAAGTACTTTGCATGATGACTTCTGTGTATATGATACTGGCACATTTTGTTCTAAACGTTTGTCTTTGGAGAATAAGTAGATAACTATATTGGTGGACACATAGACTAAAGATCAATCTCTGAGAATTCTGATGCCTTATCTTAGTCATTAGAATTAGCGACAGTGCCCTCTTCCTGCATCTGTAAGGAACGTCCTTCATATTATTTTAATAGATGTGAGCTGATCTGTTTTTGAGTATTTGGTGACATACTGAGATAAGTGGATTCAGAATTACTAATCTGCATTATAATTGGAGAATGGGTATTGTTCTTTTTTTTGTTTCTAACTTTCAACTAATATTGTGCATTTTTAAAAGTTTTTTTTTAGAGTACATTTACACAGCCTTGTTTGTAAGCTACTCTTAGTTGCTCTAACTTTAATGACTCATTTACAGAGAATATTTCCTAAAGATGTCCTTCATAAAAAGGAGAAGTTTGGACTTGACAACAGTAATTTACTTAATTTATCTTAAATTTGGTTTCAGTGAGCAACCCTAATTAACCTGATTTTTTGCTGATAATCACTCTCAATGGAATCAAATCACAAATCCGGGGATGGATTGAGCGGCACCCAGAAGGAAGCAGCCCTCCGCGCACTGGTCCAGCGCACAGGATATAGCTTGGTCCAGGTAGGAACTTCTTGTGAAATCTCCTGAGACTCACTACTGAATTTGCACAGTGGTGGGAATATTAGTGGTCCTAAGATGCAAAATGGGAATGGTCAGTTACATTCTAAAAGAGAAGGAAATTGCAACATTTCTGTTTTGTAGATGACCCTGAATGTAACCTTCTTTCTACTCTAAGTTATCAGTTCAACCTTAACTTGTCACAGAATCAGTGTCCACAGTTATAGAGACTATCACAAAAAGGCAGCTAGAATTTGCCACCCAACGCTGTGAAGTAGCACCACATTGGTGTTTCAGGAATCAGCAGAAAATAAACTACAGCAGGAACCAGGCTTAGCTTCCAGAGAGATCACTGCACACATAAGACTTCTACATGTGGGATCCAAGGAATGAACGCTTTGTGTCTAGCTGCTGAAGTTTATTTTCTCAGAACACTTGCTCATCCAATCTAGGATATGTAATACTAACTTCTCTCCACGTTCAGCATTTTGTAAAAGGAAAAAAGAAAACACCACAATCTTAAAACTGTCTATTTATAGACACTGTCTTTTAGAAATTATCTGTATATTATTATCTTTATGATATCTTCTTTTAGAGAACTAAAATGCATTTAAAAATGTAGTGTTAGATACATATATTATCTTATTTAAAGAGAAAAATGGTGCTTTTCTACAGTAGGACAAAATATTTTAATTTCTCAGCTATTTTCTTTCACTCACATATTTTCCCAACTTAACCAAATCTAGATACTACTATGAATTCAAATGTCTTGTGTGATTAGCAATAAAATATACAATAGTGTCTTTTCATTAGATGCTCCTTTGTCGGTTGCAAATTTTACATTTATTTTATTTATTTATTTATTTTTGAGATGGAGTCTCGCTCTGTCACCCAGGTTGGAGTGCAGTGGCACAATCTTGGCTCACTGCAAGCTCTGCCTCCCGGGTTCACACCATTCTCCTGCCTCAGCCTCTGGAGTAACTGGGACTACAGGCGCCCACCACCACGTCTGGCTAATTAGTATATAATGTATATACACACACACACACACATATATATGTATATATACACAAAACAACACACACACATATATATGTGTATATATACACATATATATGTGTGTGTGTGTGTATATGTATATATATATTTCTTTTAGTAGAGACGGGGTTTCACTGTGTTAGCCAGGATGGTCTCGATCTCCTGACCTCGTGATCCATCCACCTTGGCCTCCCAAAGTGCTGGGATTATAGGCATGAGCCACCGCTCCCGGCCAAAATGTACATTTATTTTTAATTAATTTTTATAAATCATAGCATGCTTTGTTAGACATAATATAATAATAAAGTTATTTTCTTCATCCTAATTAAGAGTGTTAGTCTTCTTTAAGATTTCAAAAAGTTTCTATTATTTCATAGGTGACTTTTTGAAGTTTCATTTAAGTCAATGGAGATACTGACATATTAGTTTTTTTAATACTTAAAAGTCAAATTATTTTAGGCTCATTAATAAACTTTTGAAAAGAGCGTTTTCTTTCTTTTTGCAATCAACACTTTCATAAATGTTATAAAAACAAGAATGTTTTTGAATCTTTTTAAAATTTTGAACTTCTTGATATTAGAAACATTTGTGCAAAGACAGTGGAAATAGAAAACATTTCAACCCTTTCAAACAGCAATCTGTTAATAGTTATATATAAGAGTGTTCCCTTTCTGGAACTGTATTTCTAATGACCCATAATATAAGATAGAAATATGTATAAATCTGTCTAGGGTGAGATTAGCTGTAATGCATATCACAAACTTAAATGTATAAATATAAGAAAATTATTAAGTGAACTATGAATGTATAATTATTATACTCAACAAGCAGAATTTATGAAAAATAATCCTAAAACAATATAAATTGTCAATTACATTAAATTCAATTCTGGGTACTGGTTCTTCCTTTTCCCCCAGATGAAATTCAGGTTAAGTCTCATAACTTTTCTGGTAACGTCCAGGTAATAAAAGATCCTTCATTAAAAAAATTGATATTTTTTCATATTGATGTTATTCCAAACTAGATCGTTTGGGATAATAGTAAAGACATAAAATCATTCAAAGTTACAGTTATTTCCCTTTCCCAAGTATGTCAGAGTGGAGGATAATTTCTTTTCTGTTTTTCTGCACTGTGTTTTCCTCTTTCAACACCAGTTTGGTAACTACAATTTCTGACTCCTGATGGAAGCAGACGGGAGAAATAAAAGCAAAGGAAATGATGAAGGGAAGCTTTTACTGAGCTACCTTCATTGGGTTCTTGGGCCTAACAGGTACCGAAGCTTGTGAGATTCTTTGTAGGATCCTCAGACACCTAGCCTTCTGCTGGGTTCTCTTTGATATTTGAAGCAGCCCTCATGGAGAGGATGGAAGATAATAATTAATTCCTACATGTGGCCATACTCTGGTCCCCTGGAAACACGCATTCCCTGGAATGTGGAAATACCTAGCAAAATCTGGAAACACCCCTGGAAACACCCAGCAAAATCTGGAAGTTGAGGTGACACAAAGCAACCACTTCTCCTTGCCAACAACAAAGCTGCAGGCCAACCCATTGTTCACAGTGAGAGATTTCAGAACTGAGTTAGACCCACCAGCTTAGTGTGTTCCCCAAACACAAAGGCAGGGAATACACATCAAGCTGTCTAAGTGGTTTCTCCTGCTTTAGGCAAAATGATAGGTGCCTCCCAATCCCTTCCACTTAGGGGGAACTAAGACTCACAACACAACAGCAGTTGTCTCCAAATATCTTTCTGTAAATTCTAAAACTCCTCTCAAACTCTCCAATCTTTTTTCTAAGCTTAGGGTGTAAGGTGACAGTTAACAATAGAAAAATAGTTTCCTGCTACCTTCTCATCCTGCTTGGCACTCTAGTCACTTGGTTTCATACCTAAACCAGAGGCCAGAGTTAATGATAATTTATTACATATTTCAAAATAGCTAGAAGAGAAGATTTGAAATGTTCCTAACACAAATAAATGTTTGAGGTGAAGGATATCCTATACCCTGATTTGATCCTTACCTGATTTGATCATTACATATTGTATGCATGTATTAAAATATCACACATGGACTCCTTAAATGTGTACAATCATTATGCATCCATTTTAAAAGTCTAATTCCATCTTAAAATCTTGTTACAGATGAAATAGTATTCAGTTACTAACAGTAATCATATAAAAAATTCTGAAGGGCAATTGTAACACATTACTGTTAAAGCTATGAAGAAAGCTTGCAAATAATTTTTTTGAGAAGAGACCCAAATAACAATGGAGATAATCTTACTCCATTAAAAAATTTTACTCCATTGTAAGGTCAAATGTTATGATTTAAGGACATTTATCTGATACAGAAAATAATGATATGTATAATTTAAAATATTTACATATAAAATACTCCTAAAATATATGGCCAATTTTTATTTTACATTGATCTTACCCATTCAATAATATTCAGAAAATCTTTATAATAACGACCTAGACCACAAGTTAATTGTAATAATAATAATAATAACAAAAAATATTCTAACTGCTTTGTGTATACTAACTCATCTAGTCCTTACTATACACTGTGTGGTAGCTACTGTGTTTATCCCCAATTTCCTGATGAAGAAAACAAGGCACAAACAATTTAGGTAACTTGTGAGATGAAGATTCTGTTGTTATTGGCCAAAATTTTTGGTTAGACTCAGAAAACTAAGAGTTGTTATAATGTTGTTGCAATGTGACTTTTAAGATTGCAATTTTAGAGATCAGCATGCTAGAGCATATGAAAAACATTTTTTTGGAACCTAAACTTTGTAACATGATTCACTTTAAGTAATATTCATTAGCAGCGTGACTGTTGAATCAGAAGTGCTTCAATAATGTAGAAGCCTAATGTTCCAAAAGCTAGTTATCTATACCTAAGTCCTCTAATAAAAAATGTAAATACCTATATAATTCAATCATTTTGAATGAATTGAAGAATGCCTCCTGATTTTGGCTACAGAGTGTGGAAAATTATCCAAGACTTTAAATCAGAAGGCCTATAATCTAATCTAGTCCCTACCGCATATGAGTTGTACGATCTTGAATAAGTCCCTTAACATCTCCAGGCCATAATCTCCTGGAAGATCAGCTAGGCAATACCCAACTATTTGTCCATGATTTTTGTGATTCTAGTATCTTCTGAATCTAGTCACTGGTTAGCACACTGGACTATTCGGTCGAAAGGGTAGCCTAAATATGTAGAAACACAACTTCAAACTCTTTGTAACTTAAGGAAAATCCTTTAGTCTTACTAATACTTCAGCCTTCCTACTCTGGATTATACAAAAGATTAATACGATTATCCAAAAAGAAAGAAAGAAAGGCAACATTAAGAACATCAAGTTTACTTCTTTAAAAAAGTTTTGTACAAAAATTAAGATAAAGAAACATCCTAATACAGTCCAAGAAGCATACCCATAAAATGATAGTTTAGAATTTTATAAATTAGGGTTTGAAGGATTTACTTTTGCTGTATCTTTGCGGTCTCTGATATTGAATGTTGAATATTTGCAGAACAAGAATTCAAAAAACAGAGGGTGATGAATTTGTGCTCTCTTATCACTAGCAGGACAAATACAGCTATCAAAAATAGAATTTTGTGAGTTACTTAATAACGTGACCCAGGCTTTTATGTAGCAACTGATGCAATAATGCTGGCTTCTAAGGGTTTGGAAATATGCTTTGTGATCTCTTTTTAAAATAATTAAATATCTTTGGATAGTGATGGCTGAAGTTTTTATCAAAGTACTTTAGAGAATAAAAGAGATGTAATGCAGTACCCCGCATATAGTAAGTATTCAATACATACTCTTGATGAAAACTGTGTAATGTTACTAAGTTAAACTTTAAGCTTCATAATTGTATTATGCCTTGTAAAAATATTTTTAAAGAAAGTATGCTACAGTATTAACATGTGAATAGTCTTTGTCTCTGGGTAATGGAATTATGTATGGGAATTCTTTTCTCTACTTTTTTATTCTTAACTGTACTTACAAATTTCAAAAGCTAGTATATACTTCTCTGATAGCTAAAGACAAAAAAAATTCACAATATGATGAGCCTTTCCTCAAGAATGCGTTAATGATGTGGGTCATAAACTATGATATGTGATGCTCCTCCCACATGAAATTTTCTCCTTAGAACTAGAAAAATACATTCTCACAGGTGAGCATATTCAGAAACATATACACTTCCACCCAATGTGGTGTCTGTTGACATCAAGTTTAATTCTACTGCAACTAAACCTAAATGTATATTTAATAAAAATCACCCTCAAGTAGTCTGAATATTTTTAAAAATAGACTCATTATATCTAATAAATATAAAATTTAAAATGTGGTGTGTATTAGCTTTGTTTACCCAGTTATCCTATTGGTAATCTATTTCCTAAAAATCATTACAGCACAATTTTTATGAGGTATGATAGTCCCCTTGCTTTCGTAAACCAGTGATCATCCTACATAAACATCAAGATTTTTTGTTTTGTTTTGTCCTTCTCTTTTGCTTCTTTAGTCCCTATTATTGAGAAAAATGTATTAGTGCTGGGTCTTGGGATTATAGAATATAAAAATGCAGTACCTGACCTAAAGTTCATATAAAGTGGGTGAAATGAAAAAGAATGCATCCAAAATTTACAACAACAACATAAGGCAGCCTCAAATGAGCAATACAGCTGTGAGTACCAAAAAGATCAGCATTTTCTGTATAGAGCCTTAAAAGTGACAATGCTCTTTGACCTGAGGAATGAGGACAAACATTTAGGCATAACGATGTTCATCATGCTGAAATTTATAACTTTTTAGAAATTTAAACTTAAACATATCCTAAATATCCAATATAATATTAATGGTCAAATAAACTATGATCATTCTTATATTTTCAAATTATATAGTAATATAAAATTATGATTTCAAATAATTTTCAAAGACATGGAGAAGTATTCAAATTTTAACATTTAGTTAAAAATCTGAAGGCTACATATAAATTTGTGAAGAATATTTTAAGAAATTATTCACATATAATAAAGAATATTGTAAAATAACAAAGTATAATCTCTTAGTTTTTCTTGCCTGATGCTCTTCTTCATTTTCTAAATTTTCTATAATAAATGCAGATCATTTTTATTACAAGGAAAAAATCTCATAAGCCAGAAAAGATTTCTAAGGGTCATTCGGTCAGGAGTAAAAAAAAAAAAAAGAAAAAAATCATGGAAAAAAACTTCATGATTAAATTTGGGTGATAAGTCCCTAGGTTCACTAGACTATTCTTTCTAATTCTACATATACATGAAATTTTTTTAATATTGATATAGTCCAATCCTTTTGTTTTGCAGTTAGAAAATAAGCCCCAGAGGTACACAATTATAAATCAGGGGTCAACAAACTATGCCCCATGAAGCAAATGTGGCTACAGCTTGTTTATGTAGTAATTGCAGGCTATGAATTTTGTTTTTTTACATTTTAAGGATTTTTTTTTTAAAAAGCCTAAAATATCAAGTATTTGGCCTTTTACCAAAAAAAAAAAAAAAAAAAAAAAAAAAAAAAAAAAACATTGCTGACTCCAACCTGATTCCTTAACCTAGCGCTCTATATTAGAAGCGAGTCTAGGTTTTAAAGAAAATTATTTAATTTAGTATTTAATCTTCTGTAAAAGAAGTAGGTGCATCCCTTCTTGTGCTGCCTATTCACACCAACTCAAGCGCTGGGCCCTCACTCATTCATTTATTAATTCATTTGTTGATTCCATCACAAAGAGAGACACGTTTCTACCTTTATGAAGATTAGTCTCATAGAAAAGATAGAAAATAAACAGATAAAGAAACAAGCAAAATAATTACAGATCATGGTAAGTGCCAAGAATGTGATAAACCAGGTTGTATAAAACAGAAAGCCAGGTGACCTTCTTTAGGAAAAATGACAGTGGAAGCTAAGACTTATAAGATGAGAGCAAACGTACTTTGCAAGGAGCCAAGTATCCCTGGAAGATGGAACACACAAGCAGTACTCCTTAAAGAAAATATTTATAAAATACAGAACACTTTTGGGTAGTGAAGACATTAATGTGTCTTAATCTCAAAGATCTAGTGAGATTACAGCAGATAAGTAGGTGGCTTTCATCTTTCCCTTCCTCTATTAATCAGCCATGGACCTGGTGTCCTGGGAACAATCTCCTCAACCTAGGAACAAAGTACAGTTTTCAATTCCCACCCCTCACACTTTCCTTTCTATGTATACTCTCTTGTATGGAATTTCAATGAAATCACTTGTTTTGATTCTAATTTGTTCAATTCTTCAGCAAATACAAGCCATCAGGTACAAAGGATGGTGCTAGATCAAGTCTAACTGAATACCGTTCCTCTTCTAAGAGTACCCCAAATTAAGTTAACTCTCCATCTTTCCAGTTTGAGATAATGTATTTAGGTAATTTTAATTGAATGTTTCTCAAATGGCATTTTTTTCCTATAAATAATACAATAAAAATAACCTGAGGGCCTCAGGTTTACTAATTGGCTTCATCTAGACTGGCTCTAAGAGGAGCAGATGGAAAAACACTGTGGCATTGACTTTCTTTTTCAACCACTGCACAAAAAATCCTAGGGACAGAAATAGGAATTTGACTTCATGGCAAAATATAGCTCCTGGGTCCTACTTTTTCCTCTATTGCCTGCTCTCACCACCTGCTCACATCCCTGCTATCCAAGGACTTAGGTCATTCACCAAGTGCATGGATACCAACTCTTTAAATAGGTAGCAATAAGCATCAGAACAGGATGGGACCAGTAGATCATCACAGGGTCATGCTTCCCTAAGCTTATCACCCCAGCCACCCAGAGGCCAACTTTATTTTAAAGCTCAGTAGCAATCTTTCTTCTACTAGCCAGTGATGCCATAGCATGGTGCAAAAGACTCCAAATGAAGGAGCAGTTCTGCCGAATCCCTTTGTGGAGGGGGTGTGTGCCCAACATTTGTGGGAACTTCATTACCCCAAGGAACACAGATATGTTCCAGAAGCTATTATTTCCAAATAGCAATGAATTTCTCCTCAAATAGCCTCATAGGGTGTTGGCTATATATGAAGTCTTTGATATAAGATTCAAAATCTTCATAAACTACACAAGGTAGTGTTTTCCCTTAAGCTAGAAGCACAGCGTTTTTTCTATTTTATCAGCTTAAAAATTGGTGTGAACCTCATGACCCAAACATGCAGAAGCATGACCAGGTCTTGTGAACTTTGGACTGTGTGTGCTGACAAATTCACAGTTTTTTAAAAGTGCTATTCATTTGTTAGTACTGATTGGCAAATAAAATTAAGTGACTCTTCAACGTCAGAACCTGAAAGCTTACCATTATGAGATGCAAAGACAGCTTTCAAATAAGCTAGGCAAAGAAGAAATTATTGAGATCACAGTTCCTTGCAGTCATGAATTTGTATAGGATTTCAGCAGCTGTGATCCTTTATAACATTGTTAAAGAGGTGCTGAGCAGGGAACCAAGATGGCATTAAATGGTACATTGTCCACATCATTAAATAACATCCAATCCCATATAGAGAGAATTATTCCACTTTCAGTTCTCCTTCAGGCTTTTAGGTGAGGAAAGCTAGTTGTTGGAGGTATGATTTAAACACCTCTCCAGGCCCTGCTAACCTTTTTAAGTCCCGAGAGCAGGACTAGAGTGCAGAGCTTTTAGTAGATGACAGTGTCTAGGTAGAAGTTGATCATGATTTCCCTTGTTTGCAATTGTTTTTATAATTACCGTCCATTTGTGGGAAATGACACTGATATTCCACTTATAAGAACAATATATATTTTCTTTTTGGTATAAGTTTATTTAAGTAACAAAGTGAATCCACGCATAAAGTCATTAGGTAATTAACAGAATAGGTGTCAATTGGACATGGAATTGGAGATACACTGATTTTTAAAATTACAACAACATCCTCTTAAGGCTCCAATTGACTAACTCACAAAACATCCTATGAACATTTTCCTCCATTAAACATGATATCAAATTCAGCCTTCCTTTCACAAGCACCCTCACACTCCCACAGGACTACTGCAATCACCTAGTCAACCCTCCTACTCCTTCATAAATGAAATAAAGTCAGAAAAGATTTAGTGCCTTGCCGAGTCCCTCAGCTTGTCAGAAATTAAAATTCACAAGGGTGTTGTAAGGAGAAGAATGATTGTATAAAATTCCTTACATGCCTCAAACCCGGTGCATTAGATGGGATTATGTTTGGCATATGTTGAACCAGGAAAAGACAGAAGAGCAATTAACCAAACCAAATGTTCTTTATTATGTCTTTATCTGCACATGGGAAGTTTTGCATAACTTAATCAGATCTAGAGGCAATAATAATAATTAATTCTGAAAGGCAGATTGTATCTGAAAGTAAACAAAATGTTATTGGGCCTATTGAATAAATTACACATTCTGTAAGGATAAAAGCCCCAAACGGATTAAGGAATGACTAAAGTTGTCATCTAATTACTTCTTGGAAGGAATTTAGAGGTTCCTATAGATGGAAGCAGTGTGTCTGGGCACGTGCCCAGAGCCAGAAGTAAGAAGTAAGCAGGAATTCTACAGCAATTCCTGACCTCAAAAAAAGGAAATAATGCTTTGCAGTTCATCGTTATGCAAACTTTGCTGGAAAAGGTAAGCAGAGGGTTGTAGAAGTGACTTGGCATTTTACAAATTCTCTTTTATAGAAAAACACACACACAAATGCTTTTTGTTTTCTAATTTTGAAAAACACTCAAAAATATTTTCTGTTTTGTAATTTTGAAAGAAAAAATGTTTTGTTTTCTAATTTTGTCTATTTTCAAATTCAATATTCTCATGAATGACCAAAATCTTACATTATAAGAAGTTTTGCAAAAACACAACATTTTAAAAAGCCTATTTGCTTTTGAATGCTTCAAATGTTGATACTGAATAATCCTTAAAGGGAAATTATTAAAATATGTTATTAAATGCATCAATTTGATAACATAAATTGCTTCTGCTTCCATAAGATAGTTAACAACTTCAAGTGAAATTAGGATTAATTTCCTTGGAAATAGACTTTTAATAGTCAACCTTCCAAAGTGAAACAGGAAGGTGACTCATAATTTACTAATAGTTGTTCCTCAGAAGAACTATATCATATATTTTTTAAAGATAAAATGTCAGGGCTTTGTAAAAAGTGAAACCAATAAATGAATTTTCAAGAGCCAAGAGCCATTTGCATCTTTCTTCATGATTTTTGCCATAGATACATGCCACCAATACTATTTATTTGGAATTCATTCAATCAACTCACTATTTTTAGTCATTTATTTTAAAAGTAAACTTTTTCTCACTTATGTAAGAAACCCACAGGTTTTGTGTGCTAATTATGCTTTTTCCAATGTACATTAAAATAAATGCATAATTATTAAAATAAGAAATATTGACCTATAAACTACCTAATATCATCCTCATATATTTTGAGAAACACTAGGCTGCATGATGATAAAGCTAAATTAATATTTGAATATTATGTTCATATCCTAGCTTTTCCTGTCATTGTTTCTAATTCTACATCTCTACAAAATTTCCACAACTCATTTAGTCTTTATATCACAATTTTTATTACTCTTCGTACTTTAGGAACATTATATCTGGCATTCATGTTGCATACACCTTGTAAAAATTGTAGAAAATAACTAATAGAAATAATGCCAACTTCTACAGTATATTAAGCCAAATAAATTTTGCTTTCTAAATTCCAGTCTAAAAACAGATTTTACCAACATGAAATCACTGATTTTAACAAGATGTGAAGGTGAACAAACTATACAAAATAGTTAATTTTATATACAAGTTAAAAATGAATATTCCTTACAGCACTGTTTGTTGTCCTCAGGCAACAAAAACCTTGGAAGAGACCAAAGGCAAAATCACGTTGAAGAGGGTCCTGTTGGTACATTTTACGGCCCCATAGACTTTCCTTAAACTATCTATCACATAATGAAGGATCTAGTATATAGGTGGAATACAATAGAAATAGCGTCTAATAAATACTTTTATTCAATTTCACAAATCAATAACTAGGAAAGTACAGTATAGACTCATGAAACACAAGTGACATAGTCAAGAGAGATGTTCTCCATGCCTTGTTGTCAACTTTAACAACCATACACTGGAGTTTGGTCACAGAACCACTGTTCTGGGCATGGTCCTGGTGACTGGCAAGCTGGTAAAGGCTTGAAGTGCTACTAAGCAAGCGTAGATTGGCCAGGACCCAAGGGAACAGGAGCAGGAATAAATACAAACCTGGTCAATTGGAAAATGCATAGGAAAACATCTGAAACAAGTTTAGATATGAAAAATACACAGTTTCTTCCCTCTTACGGAGAGGGGAAAAAAGAAACAAAGAACCAAAGAGAACCACAAAGATGATTACAAACTTGAAATATGAACTTTCCAAAGAGCCATTAAAGAAACTGAAATTACTACTCAGGAAAAAACAGGCTGAATGAGGGTTCATTAATTAATGTCCTTCCAGTTATGAATGAGCTTGTTTATGGGAAACAGTAACCATCTGGTGTCCATGATTGGTGAAGTTGAGCAGGAAAATAAATGTAACACACAACATGAGGATTTAAGAGGCTGGTAAGCCTGAGAAGAATAATCATCACAATTTTTGAATACTATATAGGCCATAAAGTTCACCAAATTGAGAATTGCAAGGAAGCCTGGAAAAATCAATGATAGGACCTTTATTCTAGTGTTTTCTACAATAAATTAAACCAGTGTGATATTAGACAAGTTATGTATCTCTGGCCTTAGTTTCCTCCTCTATAAAATTAGTATATTGTGTTAATGTAAAAATGAAAGAGAGATAATGTAACTACAAGCATCTTCACATTTTGTCTCTGCTGTTTACTGCTTGTATGAATTTGGACATATTTTTTGCCTTGGATTCCTTGCCTATAAAATGAAAATAATAGTAGTAGCATCCTCATAGATTTGTTAAGAAGATTAAATGAATGTAAAACACTCAGCAAAATACCTAATTCAATTGGAGATAGTTGTTTTTGCTGCCATTACTATCATGTGCAACTAACAGAAGCTAACTCTAACTGGCTAAGTAGGAAAGAGTTTATTGAAAGGATACTGGTTCACAGAAACTTTAGATGTGGAGAATCCGATTCAAAGGTAAACTTTTAAGAACAAAACCCAAAACCACATCACATATTTGTCATGATAAGAAAATGTTATCTACAGAATGCTCAAAATTAACGTTTGCACCATTTGTGACTTTTGCATCAGAACTCAATTTTAGTAAAGAAAACCATGATTGTCCATGGTTTAGTAAAGGAAACCATGGTTTTCCAATAACCATGATGGCCCCAGCTGCAAGGAAGCCTGGAGAAATCAAGTGTCTGTCATTTTTAAGTTCTATAGGAGAAGGCAATTTTTGCCCAGATTCCCCAGGTATATAACAAGTTCAAATGCTCAGTGGCCAAAATTAACTCAGTTCATTCAACCTCCATGCTAAGACTTATGGCTTAGAATGATTTATTGAGGAAGGTTTTGTGGGTTTTATCCAAGGTCAAGAAGATGGTAGACATAATCTCTTGAAGACTCAATGGCTCCATCATGAAAGACTTGAAATATCTGTGATAGGAGGAAATTTCCAAGTAATCTTGACATATAAACTGAGTAATTGGGTAGGCTCAGCATCCAGTATTTAAATTAAAGCCACTAGATTTATAGTTAGAAATTGTGTCCTCAATTGTTAATTTACATAGGTGAAGACTTTCCACCTAATTGTATATGACTCTAGAGAGACAACGGTTTCTAAGTCTTTGATCGGAAAAATAAAAGTTTCCAGAGTTTGATAAACATTCTCTCATGAAAAACAAAAATCTATATTCTTTTAGTCTGACCTATTAATATATTTGTGCTGCTGGGGAGAATGCTTCCCTTGAGGAAGACATCAGCTAGGAGGGAAAAGACCAGTTATAACTGGGCTTTATCTATTTTAAACTCCTCAACTAAGAAAATAGTGCCTGACATATTAGCAACCCAGAACCCAACTGTCCTTTCTGAGTAATGGACATCTATTCTAACCCCATGACTAATGCCCAGTGCCTGTCTTAAATTGATCTGAACTTCCATTACTGGTACATTCCAAGACCAGTGGGTGGCTCACAGAGCAAATCTCCCCCACTGAGTGAACTGCAGGGCATTCCTGAACTGGTCAGACTCTTTACAGTCTCAAAAAATATTCTTTAGATTTTTTTCATGTGTTTATGAAAAACAAAGACAATTAATATTCTTTCTTGCCCAATTATTTCAGACTGTAAGCAGGTAAATCCTGCTATACACATCTTATACATAAATAGTTGGCATTTTCAGCAATTATAGCAATCAAGCAAGTTGAAGATACATTTTAAAAGGTCAATCTGATGGTTGCCTATTTATTTTCAAACTACCAAAGCTTTTCAAAGCAGAATTTCTGGAATTACCACTTTACTATTATGGAATGAAAGTTTGGTTTCCTCAACTTGAAGGGTAAAAATACCACTGAATGTATAGTAAATTTATTTCAATAATCTGTTGAATGTTATAGACATCAAAGATATACAAAAATGGGCTCAGAGGAATCATTGTCACCCAAATGGAGAGAGTTTGTCCAGGAAGGAGGCCGGTAATTTGGCAATTCAGGTTGAGTATCTTTTTTATCCAAAATGCGTAGGACCAGAAGTATTTTGGATTTCAGATTTTTTTTAATTTTAGAATTTTTGCATATGCATAATAAAGATATCTTGGGGATGGGACCTAAAGTATAAACACAAAATTCATTTATGTTTCATATACACCTTACACACATAGCTTGAAGATGATTTCATACAATGCTTTTAATAATTTTGTGTACCCCTCACATGAGGCCAAGTGTAGAATTTTCTACTTGTGGCATGATGTTGACACTGAAAAATTTTGAATTTTGGATTTTGGGGTTAGAAATATGAGACACATTTTTCCAAATATTTTATGTAATAAAATGATTGGAAATTAAAATGATTTTAAATTGTAGTAGGGAATTTACTATTTAATGGCATGATATATTTTTTCATAAACAAGGAGTTTTGTTTGTTTGTTTGTTTGTTTGTTTGTTTTGAGACAGAGTCTCGCCCTGTCGCCCAGGCTGGAGTGCAGTGGCGCAATCTCGGCTCACAGCAAGCTCTGCCTCCCAGGTTCAGACTATTCTCCTGGCTCAGCCTCCTGAGTAGCTGGGACCACAGGCGCCCGCCATCATGCCTGGCTAATTTTGTGTATTTTTAGTAGAGACAGCGTTTTACCGTGTTAGCCAGGATGGTCTCGATCTTCTGACCTAGTGATCCGCCCGCCTCGGTCTCCCAACGTGTGGGGATTACAGGCATGAGCCACTGTGCCCAGCCCTTTCTTTCTTTCGTTCTTTTTTTTTTTTTTTTTTTTTTTTTTGAGACAGAGTCTTGCTCTGTCACCCAGGCTGGAGTGCAGTGGCACCATCTCAGCTCACTGCAATATCTACTTCCCAGGTTCAAGTGATTCTCATGCCTCAGCCTCCCAAGTAACTGGGATTACAGGCATGTGCCACCATGTCCAGCTAATTTTTGTATTTTTAGTAGAGACAGGGTTTCACCATGTTGGCCAGGATGGTCTCAAACTCCTAGGCTCAAGCCATCCACCCAGCTCGGCCTCCCAAAGTGCTGGGATTACAGGCGTGAGCCACCATGCCACACCAATAGGGAATATTTTAATGTATGTATCTGTTGTAAGTGGCTTCCATACATCAAAGGAGCAAAACGGAGAAATTTAGCTGATGAACTTTGATGCCTGACTGCCTGGGTTCAAATTCTGGCTTCTCCACTTCCCAACCATGTGACTTTGGCAAATTACTTAATTTATCTGGGCTTTGGTACCTTATGTAAATGGGATAATAACAGTCCTTAACCATGGCATTAAGTAATGATAGAGCAGTATCTGACATATAGTAAGTGTTATATAAGTATTTGTTTGAAAATAAGTAAATAAATGTGTCTGAAAATATCAATTGCACATATTTAAGGTGATTATTGGTTGAGATATAAACCACTAAATTACCAAGGTTTGGGTGTTTTTTCTATAAGCATAAAGACTTCCATTTCTCAGGTTTCTCTGTGATATCAAAGTTTTGATATCACTACTGGGCAAGAATATTAGGGTAAGAAAAAAATACAAGAACTCTCTAGGCAAAAATTTAAATATTCAGTTAGATTAAAAACATACTCAGTTGTTTAAAACGAAAAAAAAAAGGAATCCTTGTAAAGTAGAAGACTCATATGACATTTTTTAAATTACTATTTTTAAAAACGTTGTAGGAATTATTATAAATAAAAAAGTGGTCATGACCACAGACGTCAATTAAATAATGTGTCCAAAGAACCTTTGTGCTAACACTTACAAAATAATTGAGAAAGACTCAAGTTGGTGTATATGAAGATTTAACAGGGACACCACAAGCTGCTTTACTTCAATTTCAAACAACAAACAACTGTCATACAAAACAGTGTCTTTAAACAACTAACATATGTCTTTTAAAAATCTACATAGAAAAATATTTGAAAAGGCCTATGAAATTTTAAACAGTAACCACTTCTAAGGATGAGTAGAGTGATACATTGGATAATTTTTCTTTTTACTTTACACCTCACCATGTTTTTTCCACAACATGTATTATTTTATAGCATACAACTTCTTGAAATATTAGTTGTAGAAGTTAGTAATGAACTCCTGGGCTCAAGGCATCCTTCCGCCTCAGCCAGAGTAAGTTCTAGTGTTCTATAGCACTGCAGGGTGACTACAGTTAACAATAATATATTCTCAATATGTAGTTGTAAATAGCTAGAAGAAGGCTATTCCTTGCATTCCCAACACAAAGAAATGATAAATGTTTGAGAGGATGGATATACTAATTACCCTGATCTGTTCACTCTTGGATGTGGTAAGAAAATAGATCTCTTAAGTATTCTTACTTAATGAAATTTAAAAAGAAAAAAAAACATATTTGCCTAGCAGTTTACAAGTTTTCACAATGTTTATCTCAAGCAAGCTGCTGAAGCACAGAGTGTGGTATTATAATCCACATAAAAAGCTTTATTTTTTCTCCTTTAACCAGTCCACTATTATTATTTGTCAATGATAAATACATTCCTTATTGTGAAATGATTTTGAAAAATACTCAAGGAAACTGATTTAAAGACTTGATCATTTTCTTCTCTCCTTCACACCTGCCCTGGATTTGCAGGAAAATGGACAAAGAAAATATGGTGGCCCTCCACCTGGCTGGGATGCTGCACCCCCTGAAAGAGGCTGTGAAATTTTTATTGGAAAACTTCCCCGAGACCTTTTTGAGGACGAGCTTATACCATTATGTGAAAAAGTGAGTCCAAGTTTAACGTTTAATTTTTCTTATCTTTCAAGGGAAAAATACTATTCTCTTCACTTTGCTTTCATTCTCAGCCTTTTTGGTCAATGATTGTTTCTATTCAAATTACCATTCGTCGATTATGGAGAAAGTTTCTAGTAATTGTCCCTTTATAATCACTGCCTTGACCTAGCTCTTGTCCTGTTACTGACAGCTTGAATTGCTACTATTTCTAATGACTTTCAAATCTATATCTTGTTCCCCAATCTTTCCACTCTCATGCCATCTAACTACAAACTATCCATCTACAATAATCCTACAACAACCTGTCTACAACTAGATATTGCTCCAACTTGACATTTTACTATGATTTTATAAAGTACATTTTCATTTTAAAAGAATGTATACATTTGACATGGCTCAACATGCACCTATAATCCAGAATGAAATCTTCTCCAAGTCTGAATTTTTCATCTACCTAAATGCATCAAGAAGATTAAGAATATGGCTTTTCAATTAAAGGAAGAATACAAAATTCAATTTCATTTTTAATAATTTACCAAGCAGTTTTTAGCAACAAGCAATTCCTGAAAAATTTAGTAAATATGATAATTTATCTCTCTGCCTAAATGCCAAAATCAAATTTTGTGTGTATGTTAACAGCCTCAGATTCAGAACTGCACACAAGGACAAATGATGAGGACTTAATTCTGCAAGAATCTTATACATTGAATCTGAAAATGAGCATCAAGAAACACCTGAAACATAGAAATGAAACGTGCTCAAACTCTTTCCTAATGAGCCCAGAAGACATAGGTGTATATTACTGAATACATGGGGGTGGGGTAGGGTAAGGCTGAGCTGAGAAGTGGCCAACCACAAAGGTAATGGCATGTGCTTAATGGCACTTCTCTCCAGACATGCCCCATCATATTTATTTGGGCAACCATTCCTACAGCAGCCAGCAATAGTAAATTGCTCAGTCTAGACTGCTGCAGGACAGTTGTGAGGGTAGAAGGGAGTATTATATGGGCAAGTAGAGTCACTATAGCCAGGGGAATAGAGTGTTCCCCTGCTCTGGAGGCCCTGGCCCTGACTTAGTAGCATTTAGGCTAGCAGTTATACTCAGTCAGCAGACTGAGAAAATGACAAGCCTCCCAGATCATACCCTGAAACATACCTGTGTTCATTTTGATGTCATGGCTGAGGAAAAAGACAGCTAAGAAGTTAGTTTGGCAAATGAGCATTCTTGTATTTTGTTTTAAAGATCAATGATAGAATAGGACCAACTGGAAATAAAACTATGGAGATTTCAGAGGACAATTTAGAGGGAATAGACATATACATCGAAAAAGTGCTTTTTTTTTTTTTTTTTTTTTTTTTTTTTTTTGACAGTGTCTTGCTCTGTTTTCCAGGCTGGAGTGCAGTGGCACAATTATGGCTCATTACAGCCTCGATCACCTGGGCTCAAGCAATTCTCCCACCTCTGCCTTCCAAGTAGCTGGGACTACAAGCACGTGCCACCATGCTCAGCTAATTTTTGTATTTTTTGTAGACTCAGGGTGTCACCATCTTGCCCAAACTGGTTTCAAATTCCCAGGGTCAAGCAATTCACCTGCCCTGGCCTCCCAAAATGCTGGAATTACAGGTGTAAGAAACTATACTTACGATAAAATGTGTTTTCATGTCTCTAAGATGTTCCAGATAATTATGTGATGAAAGGTAATTTGCTCTACTAAAAACACATTCTGTTAACTCAGGCTGAAATGTCACTTGTACACATTTTATTTAACTTAAGTTCTCTCACAAATCAGATAACTGATCTGAACCCACATGAAAATATGCAAGCCATTCCACATGGGATGCAAATGCCAAATAGCACTGGCAGGAGGCAAACTTCAGAAAACATTGTGTGTGTATGTGTGTGTGTGTGTGTGTGTATCAGCACATGCACACATACGTTCAGAAGTACAAACATATAAATTTTCTATTTCTATTACTTGCAGATCGGTAAAATTTATGAAATGAGAATGATGATGGATTTTAATGGCAACAATAGAGGATATGCATTTGTAACATTCTCAAATAAACTGGAAGCCAAGAATGCAATCAAGCAACTTAATAATTATGAAATTAGGTAAGCTCTGCCTCTTCTAGATTAAAAGTGAAACAGACAATGCACCTGTATCTGTTTTTCTATCAAGTTTATCTAATATGGTACATGCCAAAAAAAAGCCAAGCCAGAAATGAAACAGATTAATAATTTTCCTTGGCAAAAATAAATTTGATTAAATATTTGTTTAATATCAATACTATATGAAGTACCAAACTAAGTTCTATGAGTGTTCAAAGAAACAAAACTTAATAATTTGCCTGTTTCATAAATATATTTTGGGCAGTGTTCAAAATATTGGGAATATATCAAGGTATAATTTCCTACTCACACAGCAAATATATAAGATCACTCAAAATAGTATGAAAAAATCAAACAGGGATGGGATAAATTTGTGTGAGAAGGTGGCTACTCTAATATTGTGTATTTAAGGAAATACTCTCTGGCAGAGTGAAACTCAATCTGAGATTTGAATGAAAAGAGCCAGTCATGACAGTCAGACCTTGGGAAGGTTATTTCAGGAAAGGAGAGAACATCAAATGTAAAGTTCCCAAGGTGAAAACAAGCGTGATATGTTTGAGGGGCGGAAAGCAAGCCCATGTGGCCAGAGAGGGTAGAGAGGAGAACTGAAAGCAATACAGTTGGAGAGCTGTGTGCTCAGTGGGGAAGTATAGATGAAGTACAGAAGTCTCTGTGGTAAAGAATTTGAATTTTCTTCTAATAGAAGGGAGGAAAGAGTTTTGATTACATTTACAGTTTTTTAAACATTCCTCTGCTGTTTGGTTGAGAATGTACTATGGCAAGTAAGATTTGAAAGAGGACACCAGTTAGAAGGCTGCTGCAGTTGTCCAGATCTGGACAAGAGATGGTGGTATTTGGATGAGGGGGTCAGTGGTGGACAAGATAAGAAAGGGTGAGATCTGGAATATATTTTAGATCAAGTACACAAAACTGGCTAGATGTTGGATTTAGACTGTGAGAGAATTCAGAATTTTGGGAGGAAACCTAGGATTTTTGTCCAAGTATCTGTGAACTTGCTAGTGCCATTGCAATGGAAAAGACTGGAAGGATAGCACAGGAAGGACTCTTTGGGGCACTTTACATTTGAGATACACATTGAACATCCTAGGGGAGGTGTTGAGAAGGTGACTGTCTGCATTGTAGTGGAGTCAGGAGACAGGTCACAGTTGGAATATAAATTTGGGGGTCAGCTAAATATAGATAGCAATTAAGACCATGGGACTAGGGGAGAGTCCCATGTAATTGACTTTGTGCAACCAATAACCAGTTTTGATAAACTGGAAATAAAACTGATATCATGAAATTGTCTGATTTCTAAAACCTTCACTTGGAGAGGGAACTGTCATAAATTCTTTCTTAAATGAAGCCCTGAGCCATGTGAGAGGAAGATTAGTACAGCAGTTACAGATCAATAGTTTTGGAGTCAGCCATGCTTCGTTTGAGTGCCACCAAGTAACTTCACCATTCTAAGCCTCAATTTCCTCATCTATAAAATGGGGATACTATCTATTTCATAGGTTTATTGCAGTGATATTATAACAACTTTTCAGTGCTTAACCCAGTGTTTGGAACACAGTAATAGGTTGACAAATGATTTTTAAAAATTATATTTTCGCACAGTTCATCAATTCTAGATGCAGTTTTTTTAATATCTAATCCCTTTCTGAAACAGAGCTGCACCTTAAAATGGGTAGATCTTAAATCTGATGAATGCAGAAAGAGCAGATTTACCACAATTATTTTTCTCTCACTTTCTATAAGATGAAAAGAAGTCATACATTATCCTCACAGTCTGTAAATCAATTAACTACTGGCTCATTTTATTAAAAACTCCTAGGCTGGACACAGTGGCTCACGCCTGTAATCCTAGCACTTTGGGAGGCTGAAGCGGGTGGGTCTCCTGAGGTTGGGAGTTTGAGACCAGTCTGACCAACATGGAGAAACCTCATCTCTACTAAAAATACAAAATTAGCAGGGTGTGGTGGCGGGTGCCTATAGTCCCAGCTACTCGGGAGGCTGAGGCAGGAGAATCGCTTGAACCTGGCGGGGCGGAGGTTGCAGTGAGCCGAGATCACACCACTGCACTCCAGCCTGGGCAACAAGAGCGAAACTCTGTCTCAAAAAACAAGCAAACAACTCCTTAGCCACAGGAAGATCAGCTAGATTCAGCAACTACTTGTAGTCTAACCATTCAGTTCCAAGGTTGGATTCTAGAAGAGAGTCTTGGAGAAAACATAAAGGAGGTTCCCCTCCCACAGGTGCCTCCATAGACCCGAAAGAGCTTTGTGTAGTATGTGGAGGATTGTTTGCAGTAGGAATCAGGAGAACTGGGATCCAGCCCAGGTTCCTTTGGACAAATGCTTTAACCTCTTTGAGCATCACTTTTATTATTGGCACCTGAACACAGAGATGTTCTGAGCATTCACTATATGAAAGAATATATACTAAAGTGCTTTGAAAGGGCTAAAAATGCTACATTATAGTTTTACGATTTCCAGAATTGGAAGGTTCCCCCATTCCTTGGTCTTTCATGGAACCTGGACATCGTAACAGTAATACCCAAAATGGTATCTGAGTTGAGATGGATATGGAATTGGCTCTGTAGGGAATCAAGTGGATTTGCTGTATCTACTTAACACATTGTTACCCAATAGGGCCTGTAAATATTCATAGGATATGAATAATGAATACAATCAATCCACCATCGCCACTGATAATTAACAGTATCCTCTGTGAATTTTAGTGACTTCGTCTGTAAAATAGAGATAAAAATATACCTACCTCATGAGGTGTTTTGAAAAATAAATGAGATAATGTACATACATCTCAGTGCTGACACATACTAGGTGCTCTGTGAATGTTTGCAGAAGGTTATGGTGGTGATGATGGAGGAGGAGAAGGGAAAAAGAAAGGAAAAATATGACAGAAATTAGGAAGGGAAAGTTACTGGCCAGGATTCCAGTCAAAGCACAGGTTGGATGCCAGAAGCAAGGTAAAGGCAGAGTGTTGTCTTAAAAATTAGGGGGTAGAATAAATGAAATAAGACAAACCAGAATAAACACCCCATAGACAACCTCACCTACTTCCACTCTGCCTTGGGTCAGTCCTGCCAGGGAGAGAACTTTTGTTGCAGAGAAGAAAACTTCAATTTGCTTTTATCCACCATTTCTCACCCACATATCATTATATGAGCTTCTACTTCATCAAATATTCACTGATCATCATCTAAATGTCTGGCTTCTAGAGACATTAAAGTTGTGGCCTCAGCTTTTGAGAGGAGATGGCTCTTTGACTCCAAATAATTCCAGCAAAGGCTCCGACAAACCACAACAGTTTAAAAATAAAATATGGAATTCTAGGCTCCCCCTGCTGGTAACTGATATATGACCAGCCCCCTAACTATCAAAAATAATATAATTTCTAAATACATTAATACTGTGGAAAAGGTTTTGGTGTTTTCTTTTTTAAATGAAGTTAAAAAAAAAAAAAACTTGGAAGATTATTTTATCAACCTTTCCCTCCCCTTGAGAACCACGCTCCTGGCACAATTCTTACTAGACTGAGATGGACCTGTCACAGATCTGACACACAGTCCTTGCTTCTTCAGCAAAGCATAGGAGACAGCTAGGATAGTGGCCTAACCCTGGTCAGAAAACCTGCCACACAACCAAGAGCCTTTCTCTCCATGGATAGCAGACAAATCGCCCGCCCACTCAGCTGGCTGAGAGCTTGTGTTCACTGCAAATGGGTCATTTCTGCTAAGCATACTTTACCCATTTTTAATAACTTAGTGTTATTACAAAAGTCATACAGCCTAATATGTAACACATGGAAAACATAAAAAAGCATAAAGTAATAAAAGTTAAAACCATTTCTCCGTAACTCCATTGCCCCAAAATAACCACTATGTTGACATTTTATTGTCTTTCCAGATTTTTCTATACATTTTTAATCAAAATGGTCTTCACATATACTTATTTTATAGCTTTTTAAAGCCAACAGCCTATTGTGAACTGGTTTTTTTAACCAATAAATATTCTTCTATGTTATTCTTTTTCATGACTGCAGAGCATGCAATGGTATGAATGCCTGTCTTTTGTTTATCAGTGATTCTCAACCAGGAGAATACTGTCCACCCAAGGGGGCATTTAGAAAGGTGGGGAGGCATTTTTGAATGATCTGATTGGTCACGTAGTAGGCATGTAGTAGGCAAGAACTAGAGATGATAAACATACTATGATATGCAATGAGAAAATCTCCAGTTCAAATCCAGTAACATCTCAGGTGAGAGATAATAAACCCGTTCTTTACCGTGAAGTATTTTGCTCATTTCCAATTTGGGGGAGATTTTAAAGAGCAGTAATAAATATCCTTAAACATAAATTCTAGGGCTGATTTTTATTTTCCAGGGACATATTCCCAGAAGATACTTTATTTGGTCAAAGGTTGTGCACACTTAAGACTTTTGATAAATTTTGCCAAACGTTCTCCATAACAGTTTAATCAATGTATACTCTGCCAGTGCAGGTGTATATACCTCAACTTGCTAAGAAGCAACTCTGAACAGTGGAAGAAACAGGAACTAAGATCCCAGAGCTAGGTTTCATTCCTTAAATTCTGTAACATTTTAAGCAAGTCTTTTAATTTCTTGGCATTTCAAGTTCATCTGTAAATGGAAATAACATCTACTCTGCCCATCCCACAGTCTTTTTGTGTGGGCCAGATAAGATCATATGTGAAAATGTGTTCAAGTATAAGAGACTGTTTTTAACAGAGGTTTGTTGCAAACTCAAGTGACTGCAGGGCCAGGCAGGTGGCTTCAGTAACCTGGGTTAGGTGTAGGGGTCTCAGTGTTAGAGTTGCTTCAGGGAGTGGCAAGGATTCACAACTCTTGAATCCACATCTAGCCCAAAGAAAGCAGATGCTACTCAGCTTCAAATAGCTTTTTTCTTTGAAAATGTAGAGCACATATTGACACATCTAATAATCTTGCAAAAGAAGCCACAACTCTACAAAAATGGTTTCAACACTATGAATCCAAACATCCCACATCTTCAGGCAACATCTGGCCCAGGGCCATACATTTTCAACCTGAATCCTACAAGGATTCTCATCAATCAAAATCCCTGCTCTTTTTGCAGAAATGGGCGCCTCTTAGGGGTTTGTGCCAGTGTGGACAACTGCCGATTATTTGTTGGGGGCATCCCAAAAACCAAAAAGAGAGAAGAAATCTTATCGGAGATGAAAAAGGTTACTGAAGGTGTTGTCGATGTCATCGTCTACCCAAGCGCTGCAGATAAAACCAAAAACCGAGGCTTTGCCTTTGTGGAGTATGAGAGTCATCGAGCGGCTGCCATGGCAAGGAGGAAACTGCTACCAGGTTAGCAATACCCTCCTCAAAGATGAGATTTCTCTGCTCTATCCTGCCTGCCTCCACAAAGAAAATAAGCATTTTTAATTTTTTTGGCTATCTTTCATTATGTTGCATTTTAAATTTTTTTATCCTTCTTCACTATCTCACAGTCGATTCCATTCCCTGAAGTTTTCACAGACTCAGTTTTGAAAACTATTCATTCTGTGCATTGAGGGTAATTTACATGCACTAAAGAAACCCAGAACTTTAAGTGACAGCAATCCTATGATGAATAGAGTCTTCTTAAAATTAAGTATATCAATCACAGTTACTTTTGTGTATAGATTTTGTTATCAGGCTTATTAGAATTAGGGTGTATTCTCCATTACAATGTAGAAATAAAAACCTCAAGTGATACATTATTCCAATGACAACTAGGTGACATACTTTCATTATGACTCCCTGTTGTCTAATAATTTCTGTCTAATTTGAGAGAAGAGAGATAAAAGCTCTCCTTAGAAAGTCACCTTTATTTGTTAGTTATTACAACCACAGGATAGATCCCATTTGGTGAATAACTATCAAATTCTCTATCCACCCCAGCACTGCCTCGGTCAGATCAACTTAGGAAAGTTGTTTAGGATTCTTGACTCATTCTACAACATTCACTACAACTTACACAGGTTTTTAAATGAATACTAAAATAAGAAGATTTCAAGAATGACAGACTGGACATATTGGAACAAACTTTTCTCATGAAAATTACGAGAGAGCCACCAGAATTCAAAACAAAACAACCACAACAAAGATGTCTACATTTATGTTGCCTTTGTACACACTCTTCAAAACAAACCAATACTAGATCAGCCCCCTAGATATCTTCAAAACTAGGAGACAGCTTCTAGCTTGGGGAAGATCTTTCAATAATATCTTCATGAGGGCAACTTAAAGTGAAAAACAAAAGGAGACAGTTCCAAAGATTGCTGAATCTTTTACAGAAGTAGATATTTTTAATGTTGAATCTTTCATTCACAACTTCTTCCCTCTTCACTGGCCAGCAGTCAAGTCATCAAAATCACAGGTCCATAGATTGACTGACTAAGACTCCTCATGGGGGCATACTTTTTGGTGACCTGAACATAGTATTTTGCTATCTGCTTCAATTCTTCTTTCTTCTTCAACATCGACAACTCTACCATTGAAAAGTCTTTTGTATCCATCCTGTTCTCAGGCCACCACTGAAGTATAAACACACATATTCTAAACTTTACGTAATTTTTTTCAAGATCTAATTATTCTCCCAGCTCTGCTTTCTCTTCCATGTGTCCCACACTCCGACTTCTCCATCCTGAACATTACCACCAGATTAATGTTTCCAAAATATCCTATTATCCTTTCAATACCTTCTTGCAAACAGTAGGAATTCAATCTCAGGAATTCAATCTCTATCTATAGGCTGAATGATGTCTGTCACTAACTGGCCAGTTCAAAAATATTCATAACTCCTTGTTGTGTATAAGAACTAAGTATGTGATTTCATTATTCAAGACCTTTTATTCATTTCCTGTCTTTTATGACCATATTTGCTACCTTCTATTTCCCAATAAAAACTCTTCCTTCTATCAGGACAGGCAACGCAATGACCTAGACAATTCCATGCTTATGTCTGTCTCCTTTATTTCTAATGCTATATCCTCTACTAGGAATACCTGCCCCTCCTTCACTTGTGACAGTCACCCCAGTTCAGCCAGTACCTTCTTGAGAAACCTGCCTCCAGTATTCCAGCCCGAATTAGTCACTTTCCTCCCTCAATGTAGGAAGCCATTCATTATCTGTAAAAACAGATATGTGAAATAATTTTGGGTGTGGGGGAGTAGGAGAGTGAAAGAGGGTCCAAAACAGGTGAAAGACAGTTTCCAGGGTCAAGACAATCCAGTAATCCCGGAGAAGCTCAACCTCCTGAAAGCTTTCCCATCTCTTCAAAGAGAATGGCACATTGGCCCACTAAGGAACTTCTTTATGTAAGTCAAGCTGACTAGGCTGGCCAGGGCCTGTCGGATAAGCTTAGAAATTCTTAAGCACAGTCCTGACTTTTCCTTGTGGATTCTCTGTCCAGGATACACCATAGGGAGGCTACCTCCCCTCCCCATCCACTACTCATATTCACCATGATCCAATGCAACCCCCTTACCTATGGCACTTTGAGCCAGTCTCAGGTGGATTTCATTCAGCTGGATTTTAGTCAGCAACTAACTCATCAGCAAACTAACAAGATGAGGCACAGTGGTGAGTAAGCCAGCCAGAGCAAACTCCTTCGCCTCTAATGAGATCTCAGAACAAAACCTATCACTCATTTGGATCATTCTACCAGTTACCCCGTTGCAGACTCACCCACGACAAAGGAATTCTGTAATTGCCAACCCTTTGAGAAGCTAGTTTAAAAGAACAAGGAGACTGTTGAGAAAAAATGATAAGTGAAGACAACAAGAAACTTTTTCTTAATTGACCCAGACTTGGAGACAGAGACAATGGTTGTCTAAAGGGATGTAACTGCTCCTCAGCCAGTTACCTCCTCTCTAAACAGTGGCAGTTCCCCCTTGACAAATCTCACCTTTACTGAGCTCTTTACAGGACGAAGTTGCTGCATCCCACTCCGAAACTAGAAAGGCATTCTAAGAATGCTCTGAAGAAAAGTCCTGGCAGTGATTCTCAACATCAGGCTGCATCAGCATCACCTGGGGGGGCTTGTTCTAGCACAGATTGCTAGATCCCACCACCAGAGTTCTTGATTCAGTAGGTCTAGTGTCAGGCCAGGTAATTGCATTTACAACAAGCTCCCAGGATGCTACTGCTCCCAGGACTGCACATTTGAAAACCCATGATTTGAATCAATGATTTTCCATCCTAGGCTGCACATTGGAATTACCTGATGTTTTCTCTTTTTTTTTAATAATTTATTTATTATTATTATACTTTAAGTTGTAGGGTACATGTGCATAAGTACCCATGTCAGCCTCTAATCAATTGAATCTGCATCACTGGAATATAAAGTTAGGAAAATGGTGTTTTAAGTTTTCCAGATGATTCTATTCTTCAGTCAAATTGTGTGATTCACGGCTAAATCTATTAGCTAATGATACTGGGTATTCATCTTCATGGCATGTAAATAGGAATACCTGGGAATCGCTCAGTCAGTAAATATTTATTAAGCATCTAGAACATATATTGCTCCCTTCTGAATGACATGAGAGATTCTTAAAAAAAAAAAAAAAGGAGTACCTAACCATTGCACTCGAAGAGTGCATATTCTGAGAAAACTATACATACACAAAAACAGGAAAAATTATTAAGAGGAGAGTGTATTGTTGAATCATCGTTTAAAAGTTATTAAGTCTTATCTGCATCATCTTTTCTTGACCTCACAACAATAGTAGTTTGTATATAAGGAAACTGATGTTAGAAAGGATATGTTTTCTAGCCAGGATCATTGTTCTGACATTTGAACTTGTCTTACTTCAAGTTCATGTTCTCAAATCACTCTGTAACACTCACTTTCACCAGAGGCCTTCAAAAGGATATTGGTGGAAATCACTGCTTCCTGTATTTACTCTCATATCTGTTCTCTTAGCCTTATGCAGCAGTTCATGGTCCTAGGCTGAGAAGACTAAAGCTAAAGCAGTAGTACTCAACTGTAGCTGCATTTTAGAATTAACTAAGCTACTTGTAAAACTCCTGAGATCCAGCCCACTTATATCAGAATTGGGAAGGGCAGTCCGGAGGTCAGTAATGAGCTGGTAAATCTTTAACAGCCAGCTCCTAGAGAAAAAAACAAAAGCCCTGATTTGTAGCATTTGCCAATTTCCATGGTATTAACACTCCCGCTGTGGCTGATTTCAGGTTACCAATGTGGCTTTAACTGGCTCACAAAATCCTGATACTTTCTTTGTCTATTTATCTGTTGATGAACATTTAGGTTGATTCCATACCATGGTAATTGTGAATAATGCTTCCATAAACATGGGAATGCAGGTATCTCTTTAACATAATGATTTAATTTGGGGAGAATATATACCCAGTATGGTGACTGCGGGATCATATGGTAGCTCTATTTCTATTTTTTTTGAGGAACCTGCATATTTTCCATAATGGCTGTACCAACTTACATTCCCATCAACAGTATGCAAGTATTCTCGTTTCTCCAAATCCTTGAAAACATTATCTTTGATCTTTTCCATAATGGCCATTCTACCAGGTGTGAGGTGATAACTCATTTTAGTTTTGATTTATATTTTCCTGATTAGGGATGTTGAGCATTTTTTCATATACCTGTTAGCCATTTATATTTCTTCTTTTGAGATATGTCTATTCAAATCCATTGACCTTTTTTTTATTTTATTTTTGAGACGGAGTTTCACTCTTACTGCCTAGGCTAGAGTGCAATGGCATGATCTTGGCTCACTGCAACCTCTGCCTCCCAGGTTCAAGTGATTTTCCTGCCTCAGCCTTCTGAGTAGCTGGGATTACAGGCATGTGCCACCACACCTGGCTAATTTTGTGTTTTTAGTAGAGATGGGGTTTCTCCGTGTTGGCCAGGCTGGTGTCAAACTCCTGACCTCAGATGATCCACTGGCCTTGACCTCCCAAAGTGGTAGGATTACAGGCATGAGCCACCACACCTGGCCTTTTGCCCATTTTTAATTGGGTTATTTGTTTTCCTACTATTGATTGTTTGAGTTATTTATATATTTGGGATATTAACTCCTTATCGAATGTATGCTTTGTAAATATTTTTTCCCGTTCCTTAGGTTATCTCTTTCCTCCATTGATTGTTTCCTTTGCTGTGCAGAAACTTTAGTTTGATGCAATCCCATTCATCTATTTTTGCTTTTGTTGCCTGTGCTTTGGGGGTTATAGCTGAGAAACAATTTTCCAAACCAATGTCAAGACATTTTCCCTTATTATTTCTTTCTAGTAGTTTTACTGTTTCAGGTCTTACATTTAAATCTTTATTCCATTTTAACTAGGCTTATGTGTATGTTGTAAAATAAGGGTCCCATTTCATTCTTCCGCATATGGATAACCAATTTTCCTTACATCATTTGTTGAAGAGGCTGTTCCTTCCCCATTGTGTGTTCTTGGCATCTTTGCAAAGATCAGTTGACCTTAAGTGTGTGGATTTATTTCTGGACTCTATTTTGTTTCACTGGCCTAAATGTCTGTTTTTATGCCAGTATCATACTGTTTCGATTACTATAGCTTTGTAGTATATTTTGAAATCAAGTAGTGTGATGACCCCAACTTTGTTCTTTTGGTTCAGATTTCTTTGGCTAAGGTCTTTTGTGGCCCCATACAAATTTTAGAATTGTATTTTCTGTTTCTGTGAAAAACATCATTGGATTTTTGATAGAGATTGCATGGAATCTGTAGATTGCTCTGGGTAGCGTGGACCTTTTAACAATAATAATGCCTCCAATCCATGAACATAGGCTATTTTTCCATTTATTTGTTTCTTCTTTAATTTTTTATCAGTATTTTATAGTTTTAAGTATACAGATCTTTCATCTTGTTGGTTAAATTTATTTCTAAGTATTTTTGTGGGGGGATGGTATTATAAATGAGATTGTTTTCTTGATTTTTTTTTCAGTTTCCTTGATTTCTTGTTGTTAGTGTATAGAAAGGCTACTTATTTATGTATGTTAGTTTTGTATTTTACAGCTGTACTAAGCTTGTTAGTTACAATGGAATATTATTCAGTCTTTACAAAGAAGGAAATTCTGTCATTTGCAACAACGTGGGTGAACCTGGAGCACATTATATTAAGTGAAATAAGCCAGGCACAGAAAGACAAATATTGCATAATCTCACTTATCTGGAATCTAAAAAGTTGAATTCATATAAGCACAGTGTTGAATGGTGGTTACCAGGGCTGGAGGCAGAGGTATGGAGAGATATGGGTCAAATGATACAAAGTTTCCATTAAAATGAATAATTTCTGGAAATCTATTGTATAATATGACTATAGTTAATGTATTCGTATACTCGAAAATTGCTAAGGGAGTAGATCTTAAATGTTATCACCACAAAAAAAAGTATATGAGGTGATGGATATGTTAATTAACTTCATTTAATCATTTTACAATGTATACATGTATCAAAACATCATGTTGCATACCATAAATAGATGCAATTTTGATTAATCATACCTTTAAAAAGCTTGGAAGGAAAAATGCAAAAATAATTTTTGCAAGTAGACAAGAACTGGCTCTAGTACATCATTGGGTGGAATCCAGGTTTCATTATTTTTTAAACCTCACCCAATATGGGGCCAAGGATGAGCTTGGCCAAAACCAGAGCTACCAAAACCAGAGTTACATGGGAGCCTTGGGGATCTTGGGGATCTGGGATAATACAAACAAAAAAAGTCTAATGTAAAGCATAAAAGGGGAAGGGAAGAGAGTAATGAAGAAAACTATCCCCTGGAATGCAATACAGAACAAGACGGTCACAGCTAGGGTAACAAGAGCCAGCTTCTCTAAGGTCAGTTATCTCTTAAGACATGCCTATTCTTCATTTGGGTTTTAGAATGCCAGTGCCGCAGACACTTTTACTGACTGCTTTTCAAGGAATATAAAGATACATTCTTATTGAAAATAATTGCTTCCCATGTGTAGTAATTAAACAAATAAACCCTTACCAATACTGAGAATTCCTGACTTTGTTCTCTCAAGCTTTGTATTGCTTATGGGATAAAGTTTATTCCCAAACAATGAATAAAAAACAAACTAGATTTCCAATCAAATTTAGAACTTGGGTTGACTCTCACTGCCCTCTCGTCACTTCAACAAGATCTGCACTGTGTAGGGGTACAGGAGCAGAGTCACCAAAAAACCAAACCAAACCAACAACAAAAAAGGGGGAGGCGGTTAAGTAGAACAGGTCTGGGAAAGCTATCCTCTCTAAAGCTCATTTCCCATTCTGTAAAATTGGGAGTCATTCACTTCCCCACAGGGTTATTGCGAGAAGGAACTGAGATAGCACATGAAAAACAGATGGTACAGTACAAGACACTCAATAAAATGTGTTTATAGTAATACAAAAATATATGTAGCCATGGAGAACAACTACCCTTTTCAGAAGAGTTAAATTTTTCATCATAGACTCTTCCATTGCTTGTCATCTGTCTTCTTAATTAGGATTTTTTTTTAATGTCTCCAGATTCCAGATTTATTCATGTTGTGAAAGAGAATTAAGAGGGAACACAGCTGGTCTAAGCCTTGACCAAGTGTGAGGGACAGAAAACAAACTAAGGATGCCTAAGCCCCACCCACCTTTGCCGAAACACCATTTTTTAAACATCTCAATTGTGGTACCTAGCCTAATTAACAACACAGATTCAAACAGCAGTAAATACTCTTCCTACTAACCTTCTTAATGTTCTGTGGAGTCAGAGTCTATATCTGGGCCCTAAATCCATACTTTTCCTTTTTCCCTTTTGCTATCTTACCTTAAGTGACTACCTTCATCCAATGAGTGTTGTTGTAAGAGCCAAATGTGCCCTCTGCTGCCTCATTTCTGTTCAACCTCAAACCGCATCCTGGTTCCCTTTATAATTAATAGTTATAACAAGTCACTTGTCACACAGAACTCCCTTCTAGTCAGTTACTCCATTTATTTGGAATGTCTCTTAAGATCAATACTCACCAATTTTAATGGTCTTGTTGTTCATTCAAGACCTCAAGGGTCAGGCCAATTTAAAAGACCATCGGTATAAACTGAGATGATGTTGTCCTGATTTGTACATAATTAATCATAATTGTGATCATTTTTAACAGGAAGAATTCAGTTATGGGGACATCCTATTGCAGTAGACTGGGCAGAGCCAGAAGTAGAAGTTGATGAAGATACAATGTCTTCAGTGAAAATCCTATATGTAAGAAATCTTATGCTGTCTACCTCTGAAGAGATGATTGAAAAGGAATTCAACAATATCAAACCAGGTAGGACATATATACAAGATTAGTTTTTCAAAACATTCTTTAAAAGCACCTATGCTTGAGATGACTTCCCATAACTTTAAGTAGAAATGCTTTTATTTAGCTCATCTCTTAATTGCATGCAAACCTCTCAAACTATGTTCCTAACTTTGGATTAGAAAATCAAGCCATATGGTCCTATAATATTTATCAATATTATAATTTTATATTTATCTATGTGATTATTTAATGAATACCCATTTTCTTCACTAAACTATAAATTTCATGAGTTTTTTTCCCCTCTTATTGTTTCCTCCTTCCTCAGACATTTAAGCTCTGGGGTACAATGATTGCTCAATAAATATTTACTGTAATAAAGAATGCATGCCATAACTATATGTCTGATGCAGGGTTTCTCAGCCTCACCACTATTGATATTTTGGAACAGATCATTCTTGGCCGTAGGGGTCTGTCCAGTGGATTGTAGGATGTTTAGCAGCATCCCAGACCTGTCCCTGTTAGAAAGCAGTAGCAACCTCCAAAATGTAATAATCAAAAGTGCCTTCAGACATTGCAAAATATACTCTATGGGTGGGCAAAATTGCCCCAGTTTAGAACCACTGGCCTAATGGAATACACTTGTGACATAAGTAAAAAGATGACAATCCTAGGAACCTCATTTAAATGAAGAGGAAGGGAAAGGAATAGAGGGAAGGTGGAAGGGGATAGTTAGTTGCTAGTCATCTTGCCAATATTTTTCAGTATCAATTCTAAGCCATCGGATTGATTTCCCATCTCTTTCTTCTCCATATAGGAGCTACAACACTGAGAGAGGTAGAGCATTTCAAGAAACAATGTGCAAATTACCATTTCCCAAAAACAGTTCAGAATCATTAATTCTATAATCTTTTGGTAGATGTTACTGATAAAAGGGATCCATGGTCAAATAAGCTTATAAATATCAGATTCTGCAAAATTAAATTAATTTTTTCATTATGGAACTTATCAAAGTCTTTAGCCTTCTGACATGCTTTGAAATTCTCTGAGATACAGAAAACTTCGTTTTTCAAATTTCTGAAATATAACTGCTTTTTTTTTGGCATATCATCTTGTGGGATTACTGTGTCTTTAAACACACTCTGGTCAGCAGTGGCTTAGGGTTATCATAGTAGTAATATCCTTTCATAACTGAGAATGTCCAAGCCTCCTGGCAAATTCTCTAGGTTGTTAACAAGCATAGGCCATGGTACTGTCATGTTAAAGCTTCCTGAGAATATTCACTTGCACATACTCACATTGTCTGTTTCTAACTCTGGGTGCTATTTCAGATAGAACAGAATGATAAGCTGATGATTCGCTCTGAAGCATATTCAGTAAGGATGTCACTGCTCCATTTTGAAAGACTCACCAAGGATCTTTCTCCAGCCTCAAGAACTCTGCCTTCCCTGAAATATTAGTGTGATGGTGTGGCTCCACACCAACAGCTGTGAATCCATGACTAAGCTAGAAACTGCAAACGATGGACTACCTTACTGTGTGCCAAGCATTGCAGTGGGCCCTTTCACAGCATGTGTCATTTATTCATCACAACTCTATAATACAGGTTGCTTTATTCATTCCATTACTTTATAGATAAGAAAACCAGGACCCAGAGTAGTTAAGTCGTTTGCCCAGGGTCACACAGCTAGCAGGTGGCAGATCCTGGATTTGAACTCGAATCTGGTAAAGGACATGTTCTTAAAAACTTTAATACTCTCATGCCCAATCTATATTCCATTCACTCACTCATTCATTCAACTATCTTTCCTTCAGTAGCTCCTATGTGCGAGGCACTGGGAAAGGAACCAACAAGTATGATGTGTGCGTGGAAAAAGTTTAAGAAATTCCAGAAAAAATACATCTTAGACAGACTACTCTTAGAGTGAAGAGAAGATTTGTGTTTTGAAGTGACATCTAAGCTGAGATCTGAATGTTGATGCAGTTGTAGGCATAGGAACCATAATGTGTGTGTATAAATATTGACCACTATTCTCCCCTCATTGCATGTTGACTTTCTACCTTCCCAGAGTGAATAATACTTCTTATTTTTATCTAATTAAAACAGCACCCTTTTTTTTTGCCAAGGGTTAGAATGAGAAACTACTAAAAGGCTGCTTCCTTTCCTAGTCCCTGGTCATTAGCTTTCCCAGTCTGTGTATTGGCATATACTGAAGAGACATGTGTGCCCGGATCTTACTAATTATCATGAAAATAATGAACATCACATATCTCTCTGTTGCTTGCTCTCTCACTTTCTCTTTCTTCTTGGGACTAAAGTGTGTCCAGAGATTTCAGGTCATAGTCTGCAGCTGGTGGCACAACTCTTAGGGCTATATAATGATGTGTGGCTTGTTCTTCCTGGCCCTCTGCAAAAAAAAATATGAATTGCTGAAGGTGAACAACTAGCAGACATCTGCTGCATTGAGAGGGAAAAGTCAGAGATAACTCGTTTGTTTTATCTTGGAAAGTATGTACTGTGCCAAGGCTATACTTATCTAGAAAAATTTATGGAAAGAAACAGGAAAATGACTCTTTAAAAATTCCATTTAAAGTTTAGGTCCCTCAGAGGAACCTACATACTACCTCAAAATATTTGACCATGTATCATTTTAACCATGATGAACTTGAATAATACTATATTGCCACTCAGAGACATAAATGATAATTAAAACAAAAATTGGGATCTGAAGATGGTTTGTTCTTCCCCACTGTAGCCTAAGGGTATCTGCTGAATTTCCAATTATAGTCATTCTACAAAATGTGATCTTCCTACAAGAGTTTAGCAGTATTAGAATCACCTGAAGGGCATGTTAAATCGCTGATTGCATGGCCCATCATGGGTGGGCTCAAGGATTTCCATTTCTATTAAGCTTCCAGACAAAGCTGATTCTGCTGGTCAGGGGACCACACTTGGGGAACCACGATCCTCTGATAACCTTTCCTTTGGCATACAGGTGTATTTCTCCTCAGGTTTATGTGTTGCTGACAAGTTGATAATAAACACAGCAATAATTTTCCAATTCCTTGCATCATGATTTCAGAGGATCTTTTTCTTCTTTGCTAATGGATAATTGGGTAATAATGATCATTCATATTCTGTGGACTCACCCTCTGCCAAATGAGGATCAATTACTAAACAAACTCCTATGCACTGAAGAAGAAACATATTAAAATAAGCCACGTGGTGAATACTATTGTAGAGAAAACCAACTTCTATGACACAAACTCTAACTTTTTAACTTGTCTGTTTTATAAGACTAAATTTTTAAATATCAGATTTTCCAAAACCAGATGCATCTGGAAATTATCCAACAATGTAAGATAATTTGAAATATCTGCAAACAGAATTTCAGAAAATCTAAATTCATTATCATCTGAAATGCCACCTAACTGGTTTAGATGACAGAAGTTGGGGTATGAATTAACTGATAATATTCCCTTATTCCACGTGTATTTATAGAGTAACTCCTGTGTCCAAGGCAGTAGGCAGGAACCAGGTGAGGATGATACCACAAAGTCTCTGAAGCAGGTCCTTGTCTCAGGGAGATAACAGACCAGGGAGTCTAGGTGGAGAATGACATTGAAATATGAACTGAGCAAAGACTGGACAGGTGAAGGTCATCATTGGCCAATGTCTTTCTTCTCAATTACAAAAACGAGTCATGGGATTGAGTCATGATCATCACCCCGTGTGACACTGAAAGGAGTGAAGAGACTATGTTGGATATTCAGTTAATTATATGTCCCATGCTTCATGGTCTCAGAGAGCTTTATTTACCCTTAGCCTGGCCAGATGATTTTGCTCTGTATAACCATTGCCATAAGAAGTCAAGGGTCGAATGTTGAAGGGAGTATAAAGAGAAGTATCACAATGCCTTTAAATTGTCCTTATGTTACAGGTCCACTATTATTCCAAAGGAAGATAATTCTTAGTCATTGAACCATGTGGGAGAGTAAAAACTCTAATTACCTTTGTTACCTTGAATCTAAGAGGATAATGAAACTTTGATAGGGACAGAAAGGACTTCCCTCTCTTCTTTTCCCTGGAATAACGTCTCATCCTATGTTGTCTCCCTAGACTCTCAAGGTACACCCAAGTGAGTGTAGGGTAAAAGAAGATAATTGGCATGCTAAACTAACAGTGGTTAAACAAATTTCCACCTTACCTTCACTCTAAGCAAAAGGTCTATTTTTAAAATTGAGTAAGCAACAACATTTTAAAAATACAACATCCAACTATCTTGGTACAACTATCTTTTTCATTTTTATATGTTGCTATCATGTTCAGCAGTTCCTTTACATAAAAATAGATGGTTTGTTTGGGTTTTCTACACAAATAATATAAATAAATTTTGCAAATATTTGTAAAATGCCAAATATATCAATTACAATATGAAAATCGCCTTCATTCTTCCCAACTTTTCTCCCCATTCCCGAAGTAACCCCTGTTAAGAGTTTGGTCTCTATCTTTTCAGTTTGCTTTCTGTATGAGTGTATTTAAACTTTGTGCATACATATACAGTTTTGGATTATTAAAAACACAAATGCTATAATATTGTACTATTTTATAACTTTTTAAAACTTAACAATAGATCTTGGGCCAGGCATAGTGGCTCATGCCTGTAATCCCAATACTTTGGGAGGCCGAGGTGGGCAGATTACCTGAGGTCCAGAGTTCGAGACCAGCCTGATCAACATGGTGAAACTCCTTCTCTACTAAAAATACAAAATTATCCAGGCACATGGTGGCACATGCCTGTAATCCCAGCTACTCAGGAGGCTGAGGCAGAAGAATCGCTTGAACCAGGGAGGCGGAGGTTGCAGTGAGCTGAGATCGCGCCATTGCACTCTAGCCTGGGCAACAAGAGCAAAACTCTGCCTGAAAAAAAATATATATATAGGTCTTTAATCTTTCCGTGTAATCACATACAGGTCTATTTTCTGTATAGACTCCTTGGTGTTGATATAAATGTAGCAGATTTAATCACTCATGAAAATAGACATTAAATTGTTTTATTTTTGCTCTTTCAACAGTAGTGTAATTGATATCCTTATGCATGATTCTTGTACATGTGTGTGAGTGTTTCTGTATGAGACATTCCTCAAAGTAGAATAGTAGATATTTGCATTGTTTCCAGTCTTTAGCTATCCTGACAGCAAGGCAGGCAACTTATCTTGGTTCCCAGATGTTCTTGTGGAAACAACTTTCTTTTTCTTCTTTTTGCTTTTCTATTTAAAGATTAACTGATAAGGATATAGGGAATACAGTTGTAGTTCCTCTCTGTGTGGACTCTAAATCTCAGTTACCTTGTCAGAACTGTAGTTACCTAATATTTAAGTTTTAAAAAGTAAATTAAAGTTAATTATATAAGACAAAAGAGATAAAGACATTTTGCTGGGATGAAAAGCATAAAACTTTAAAAAGTAATCACCTAAATATACATTTGTAAAATGATCAATAATTGAGTTCAACTCAACAAATATTTTACCATGCAAAAGGTACTATCTTTTACATTACATAAGATGCAAAGGAAGATGGAATTCCTACCCTTAGAGACCTTATAATCTAAGAAGTGGAAAACACAAATCCATAACAAATTATAATAAGTCAGAATATAAATTTTATTTTTAAAACTGCAAAAAAAAATCTTCAGTTGAATGTTCTTGATGAGATCCTTTCTTAAATATGAGATATCCATGAAAAAATCCAATATTCTTTGCAGCTAGGTGCTAAAATATATCACTTTCAGGGCTCTCTTAAGTTTGTTAATGGGGCAACCTTCACTCTATTTTACAGGTGCTGTGGAGAGGGTGAAGAAAATTCGAGACTATGCTTTTGTGCACTTCAGTAACCGAGAAGATGCAGTTGAGGCTATGAAAGCTTTAAATGGCAAGGTAAGGTAGAACAAAGAAAAAAATATGCAGATTCCATCCAAGTTTGGTGTGGACATTACATTCAAAAGCACAGTCCTGCAAGTCCAGCCTTCTCTGACATGGCTGCCTCAGTCCATTTAAGATGTACTAAAGAGAAATGATGGAAAATACAATGGAAATTGGAGATGTACCTAATATATCCAACTTCAGCTCTATTTTTTTTCTAATTTGGACAAGGCACTGACACTCAATTTCCATGGAAAGAGGAGATTGAAGTAGATTATTTCAAGGTGTTTTTCACAATTCCAGTTTTTTCTCATTACTTCAAAGAGATTATCATCATTTTATTGCAGTATTTTAGAAGCTGATGAATTAAAAACATGTCAAGATAGCTGTTATTCTGCCTTCATAGTTTGATCTTCCACTTGGAAAGCTTAGAGTCTCTCACCTTGCCAAAAGTAGGGGCTGGGGAAGCTTCTATATCCTCACTACTGAGTTGTATACAGAAACCAATATAATATTTATGCATCAAGCCAATAAACATTTAAAACCTTCTGTAGACTACTTATCATGCTAGGATACAAAAAGGATCAGAGATGTTTGACAAACAGTTAAAAGTTGGTTAGAGGAATAAAACAACTACACAAACACGTGCAAAGTACAGTCAAGTAAATATCATAAAAAGAGATCAACGTGGTGAACAAGTTCAAAGGAAGAAGTGGGTCATAAAGAATAAAACATCTTCATGGATATGAGAAGATAATATTTCAAAGAAGCCATGAAAAGTGGGTATAATTTCAAAAATCAAAATATGGAAAGACAGGCAGTCTTAGACAGAGGCACAGAATTTGAGAAGAGCAAGACAAGATTGGAGAACAGGAAAATGTGGAGTAACTTGGTTGGAACATAACGCACATGGGACTGTTTTACCTATCGGTTCTGGCATCAGCCAGGGTCCCAAAAGAAAACAAATAGCAAAGGAATTAATTACAAAAGTGTGAGTTGGGACTAGGGAAATCAAAAAAGAGTGTCAGAATTTGGGGCTCACAGCATTCTGGAGTCAAAGGTACAAGGGGCTGGAGAATTAATAGAAATCCTGAAAGGGGAGAGAATTGTGTAGAGCAGATCTCTTTGCAAGAAGTAGCTGGGTGCAGTGGCTCACACCTGTAATCGCAGCACTTTGGGAGGCTGAGATGGAAGGATTGCTTGAGCCCAGGACTCCGAGACCAGCCTGGACAAGATGGCAAGACCTCATCTCTACAAAAAGTTAGCCAAGCATGGTGGCATGGACTACTACAGTAGTCCCAGCTACTCCAGAGGCTGAGGTGGGAGGATCTCTTGATCCCAGAAGGCTGAGACTGCAGTGATCTATGATTGTGCCATTGCATTGCAACCTGGACAATAGAGTGAAACCCCATCATTAAGGAAAAAAAGAAAAGAGAACAGAAAGAAGTAGTGATTTTGGTCAAAGGACACAGTCAGCCCAAGGTGACCTTTCAAAGAGGGATCCAGCAGAATAAATGCCCCAAATTCACTGTTGTCTCTTTCTCCAACCTCCTACCAGCATTCCGCATTGGCTAAATCCAATCACAATCTAGAAGGCTAAAGAGGACCCCATGTAGAATAGTCTCCCAGAGCAGAGAGCAGGCTGGAGCTGGTAGGTGGTGAATTCCATAGGGAGTGGATCCAGATGGCAAAGGGAGGATCTCTTAGCCTAGACCCTTCAGACACTGTGGAGCCTCTTGCATATTAGCTCCTCAGGGTCCCACTCAAACTCAAAAATGTTTGAGTGCTGGAGGGTGGGGTGGAGAATGTATTCACTCTGAAATACAAAAATGACAACTGCAAAGCAAAAACTAATCCATAAATACATGTCTATAAAGAAAAGCATTATTTCATCTTCATTGATTATCACATTTAATATCATAAAAGTGTTATTACTTGGAAAACAATCTATAAGTTAGATTTTCTCTATATGGAAACATTCCTGAGTATACACGATGATTGCTGGGAAGGAACAGCCATCAAAAATTTAATGCCAATAATTACATTGGAATAATTACAATGGAAACATTTTCAAATTATTCCCAATTTTTGCAGCTAGATATTTTTATACTAATATTTACACATATTATTTAGTTAAATATATATTTAATATTATATTTGACTATAATGTGGTATGGAAAAATCTAAAGTAAGTTTTCCTAGGAACTATGGTTTTTGAGCATATATATAGAAATTTATATTTAATTTAGTAGATGAGGTGAGATCTTGAATTTTTTTGTGCAGTAATTATCACATTTAAAATTTAGGAAAATTAGCCTAGTAAGAATTGACTTTTTAATACAGGTGAGAGAAACATGTCATAGAAACTAGTTATAAAGCTATTATAGTCACCCAAATGGGACAAAATAAGGTCTTGAACTTAGGTAGGAATGGAATGCAGAAGACAACCATGTACAGAACAGTAGGGGTAAATTCAAAGGACCCAGGAACTGATTGGAGATGGGGTGAAAAAGAAGGAGAAGTCATTATAAGCTTCCAATATGGCAGGTTGTTATGAAAGTCAGGAAGGGAAGCCTATTCAGAGAGAAAAATAATGAATTGAGCTTCAGAATGATTATTCATTTATTCCAAGTCTGTGAAGTGAAAGAAATTTTACTAAGCTAGGGCTATACAGATTAATAAGATGTTGTCCTAGCTCTTGAAATATCTAAACTAAATAACTAAAATACAATATTGAGTTTAAAATGCTTTTGAATGGGACAGAGGAAGGCAGAACAAAATTTATTACAACAAGAAATCTGAATTTGCAGCAAAGAATAATTCCATGCAAAATGTATCTTGATATGGAAGTGCCTATAAGCAGAGACCTATTTGAGTCTCTCATCTTCCTCAAGACCAGACTGAAGATATAAATAATCTTACACCCAAGGTCCTCCCCTATTTTCAGTATGCTATTTCTATTTTTTCTAATTACATCAACATCAATATAAGATTGTTGAATATCAGCTGGATTCTATTAGAGTATTCCATCTAACTTATTTGACACTGGCTCCTGCTACTAAAAAGTAAGGTAAATACATAATACTGGAGACAAACCGACCCATAAGCTGAACAAAATGGTCAGGATGACCATGAAGCACAAGCTTTGTCCAGCAGACTTCGATAATCCAGGAACCACTGAGTCACTGTTGAAATCAGAGGGTAAGAGTGCACACTCAGCTGCTGTGAATGTGAATTTCTGTAGAAACACTTTAAATAAAAGTGTTCTGTATATAAAACAAAGGATCATCACATTCTTATTTTTAAAAAAAGCCACAAATGCTTTCTGACAATACTTTGTTCCTTTGATAATAAATACATCAATCTATCAAGAATTTGTTGGAAGCCATGTTTGTTTCTTGTGTAGGTAAGCAATACATAGAAGTTAGTAGCACATGTAGATCTACATACATTCATTATCTTCGACATCTGGAGCTGTTCACACTCTCAAAATTTGTGTCAATAATTTTTGAGGAAAAGTTTTAAGCGGTGCATGATCTGAGAACCTCAATACTACTCTCACTCCCAACTACTCCTGACCACTGTCATCCCTGTTTATTAGTTCCCAACTGTTCAGCAGATCAAAAGGTGGCTTCACAAGGAAGAACCTGTGGCAGGCAATGCAACAGCCTCCCAGATTCCTCTTCCTTTGGTAGAACCACAGTGTGCCTCTCTTCTCCAGTGAAAACTTACTTGTGCGGCTGATCTAAGGAGCAAGGCAGTTAGTAGGCTATCAGCTGGAAGGGCCTGATTTGGCTCCCCATGCTAAATGCTAATAATTGGTAAGATTTTGTTATTGGTTTCCTTTTACCTTCATCTGATTGTGCTAGGTAATGGAGATTTTATACAATCCATGACAAAACTAAATTTTATTGTAGTTATATAATTATATAGATATGTAATTTAAAACACATATATGACCTAATAAAAATATTACATAAGTTTCTGTCTCAGTGACTGCAACCAGATTATAAACTTATAATGAATATGTCAATGGACACTGGCCAACATGTCACTGTCAAACCTGTTGGCATCTTATGCATCTTACCAACAAAATGGCTCAGAAAAAATTCAACTGGCATATAAACACAAACCTATAAAATGACAAGATACAATCAATAAACCTACAGCAAGTAGTCTAACACTTAGAAGGAATCATGTTATTAGGGCTCAGCCACACTTGGTTATCTTCGTATCATCTCATGTTGATTTTTCTTTGCTCTCTACAACAGGTGCTGGACGGTTCCCCCATTGAAGTCACCCTAGCAAAACCAGTGGATAAGGACAGTTATGTTAGGTACACCCGAGGCACAGGTGGAAGGGGCACCATGCTGCAAGGAGAGTACACCTACTCTTTGGGCCAAGTTTATGATCCCACCACAACCTACCTTGGAGCTCCTGTCTTCTATGCCCCTCAGGCTTATGCAGCAATTCCCAGTCTTCATTTCCCAGCCACCAAAGGACACCTCAGCAACAGAGCCATTATCCGAGCCCCTTCTATTAGAGGTAACTCCAGTCAGATCTTGCTTTAGAGTAATCCTAAAATTTCAAATGACTCAAATTGCAGTAGCCTTAGATACATTGGATGGGTCCACTGGGAGAAAAGCACTGAAAATTTTTTTATTAAAAATCAAGTATTATATCAATAGTTTTCCTTTGATAGGAGTCTTTTTTCACATTACAACTGGTTATTGAAAAAACGTGGTCAGAACATTGTGCAAATGAGCCTAGTGCACAGATTCAAACTTTACATGGGTCCATAAAATTTGCACAAACTAAAACCTAGTTCTATAATTGTTAACTTCTTCTGTAACACTTGTCCACCATTGTGCAGTCATCTGTGGCTCATTACAACACTTCTGGAAGAGACTAGTATAGTCCAGTGGAAACCAATTACCTCAAATAGCAAAACCCTTTCAAGGCATGTGTGTATTTGATGGTGACTCAGTGGCATTGTCTTAATATACAAATCACAAATTATTATAAATATAATCTACCAGACACATGAGAGGTTCTCATCTGATGTCCTCCAAGAAATATGTGTTATACTTTCTTAAAAACCAAATTATTAAGGAAATTACTGTATTTCTTTAGTACATGGAGAACTAAATAAACACGAAATAGAAAAAACCCTCAATCAGACTGCTAATAGAACAATAAACATTTCACATTTGAATCCTGTAAGAATTCTAAATGTTTGAGTAGTTTTCCAAGCTCCATTTCTTCAAGGAAGCTAGAAGATAAAGAAAGACTTTATTTTATTTCCAAGAAACTAGCTTGTCCCTGCCTTTTTGGCTCCTTCAGATTAGTTTTTCTAGGATATGGCTAATGCTAACTGAATCCCAGTTCTGTCCTCTAAATACGACATGAATCTGGGCAATTTGATAAATAAACTGTGTATTTAAGTCTATTCTTGGGTTTGACTTAGAAGCAAAGAGGCACATCTAGATTACTGTGGAAACAATTATCTTACTATGTTTTACTATTTTTCAGTATAACTGAATTGATCATGCTAGGAGCTCTAGTCTTCAACGGCCTTAAAAGTTTCATACTCATAGTTACTTGCCCCAAAATTTTAATGCAAATTAAATAATCAGGATTTCCTTTAGGATAACTTGTCTATGTGACAATAAATTATATCATTGTAACATTATGCATTTATAATGAAAAATCACATCATTAACCAATCCATACATTAAATACAAATTGTCAACCAGTTATGATGTAGAAAAAAACAAACTCCACTAAAACGGAAAAAAATGCCTATCTTATAACAAGAAAGGAATCAATGAATGATATTCATGGATGAAGGGTAATCAATTTAATTTTGTATCTCTATGCCACCAACATAAAATCAAAGTAGCAACATGGCAAAACAAAAATCAAAAGGAATCTATGCATGAAACTCAATGGAAACTTAAGCCTCACATTGACCGAACATCAGAGAGAGGATGGTGAACCTAAAAGCATGCTTTCTAAATGCTTGTTTTCCAATAAGTCACTGGAGGTGGGATAATTAGAGAAGCCAGAATTTATTTCTAATATGCTGATCAGTGACAGTCTCTATGTAAGACTGATTTCAAAACAAGTGGTCACATTATGTTGGAATGTTGTAATAAATACATTCCCAGTCTTTATTAGTCTATATTAGAAAATATCAAGAAAAGGTAACCTAAAGACAAAAATTGCAAAATTTCTCTCCCAACATTTTTAAGTTGCTTATGTACTTATCAACAGTATTGTACTTATCAATGGCATCGCTATCTTCTGAAGGTAGTTTTTCAAAAAAGAGAAAGACACCTATGTTAAACCTTACCTTATGTTGAGTTTCATTACATTAGAATCCTAGAGTTTCCCACCCATCTTCAGGGCAATAATCAACGTGAATTGGGCTAACTTTTCCATTACAGTAAGATTCAGGGTGATTTTCTGGTGGTTTGATTCAGTTTAATGCCTTCTTACATTCCTAGAAATTTACATGAATGTACCTGTAGGGGCTGCGGGAGTGAGAGGACTGGGCGGCCGTGGCTATTTGGCATACACAGGCCTGGGTCGAGGATACCAGGCCAAAGGAGACAAAAGAGAAGACAAACTCTATGACATTTTACCTGGGATGGAGCTCACCCCAATGAATCCTGTCACGTTGAAACCCCAAGGAATTAAACTCGCTCCCCAGGTAGGTAATGTTATTCCAGAAATAGTTTCTTTGAGTTGTGCCAATGAGCATCATTCACTTTTACCAAATGATTTGACTTGATCCCTACTCAAGCTATGGGTTTTTTTTTTCTTTTAATATATAAAGCATTCAATCAATGTCACACCCTTTGAGGGAATGCTGGGCATCAGGTGTCGTTATTCTATTATAGGTCCTTTCTCTTTTTAAAAAAATATTAAAGCTTAACACCTTGAACAATATTCCACTGAAATGCAAAGAATCTGAGAGCTGTTAAGAATTGTCAACCCATACCCTAAATGAAAATAAAATGAGGCAAAGACCCCATCTCAGAATAAATGCCTATTGTATGTGAGCCAGGTTGGTTGGCAAATGAAGGGCATTATGGCAGAGCCCTGAATAGACCATTTAGGACATCTTTTCTTGGAAATACTGTATCTAAGAGAAAACTCCTCCATGATATCTAGGTGAATTATTAACTATGAGATGTCGTCAGTCATAACAAATTAACTCTTCCTCCATAGTTATATTGCGGCAGTGGCATTACAGAGAGGGGTTTTCTTGTGTTCATTTAAGAGTTCTAAGTTTCCATACTTCAACATTAACCTGTGTTTTTTATTATTGGAAAATTAAAAGTTATACAAGTTTCAATATGGAAACTGACTCCCAGGGTTAAAAATGAAACAAAACAGGGTCTATGCTAACCCTGAGACTGTTCCCTGTGGGAGTGTGATAGGTACTGATCTCTCTGAAATATATTTTGGCTGAATAAACAGTTACAGTTTATGTATCTTGAAGGAAACTTCCCTATTCCCATGACAAAGGTGGGCTTATAGCCCCACATTTATGGAAGTAGCCCTTATAATTTCAATCCAGAAGAAAACTTGGTTTTCTAAAAGCTCATCTTCGGTAATTTTTTAATGGGATTTCTGACTTTCTTTTATGCACAAATTAGCTTATCTAAGGTTTCTGCTAGCCCCACCCAGGAAATTAAAAAAAAAGAAAGCCTACCAGAGTGCTAAACAGCAATCATTTGTTTGTTCACAAAAGATACAGTAAACTTCTCTTATGCACCATGTAGTGCACTAGGTGCTGGAGATGCAGAAGTGAATATAAAAAAAATCCTTACCACCAAAAATTAGATGGCAATCCAGTGGGGAAAAAACTGACACATAAACATATAACCATAATGAAATCTGGAAGTGATATGATGAAGTTTGTTCAGAAAATATAAAAGCCAGTCACCCAGTTTCTCTTGGGTTAAAACCCAGAACCAAGAACCTGATTAAAGTACTGGAATCCTTAGAAATCTTTTAAGAAAATAAAAAATAATAGTCACAAATTCTGTATAATAGTAGTTCTGATAGCTGTGATAGTATGAAAAGAGATCTCTTCGTTTCACATCAAACTCAAGTTAGAAATTCATCATGTCTTATATTAATATGTCAGTAATAATCTCTATCAGTTAATAAAAGTGTCTCTGTCCCCAGAAAAATAACTGGGGACAGCCAGTGTACCCACTGCACTCTGCTATTGGACAAGACCAAAGACAACTATTCTTATACAAAAGACAAATTAATAATATTGTTCTCTGACCTTCTACGACTATGGCTTAGAAATGAAGACCATGCCACCACCAACCAATATAGATGGGGCCTAAACAACCCCAAAGTAGAGTTATGAACTTCCAGCCAGAAGCAGAGACAAATACTGCCCTGCAAAGTCAGCAGTGAGAGCTGGTGTTCCTTCCACCCGGGTTTGCTCACCTAGCGTAAACAGGCAGGCATCCTATCTACCAGCAAAAGCTCCATTATTATTGCCCAAGAACTGTAGAGAATGCTCTGAGGATGACAAGAGATCCTACACAACAAGAGCATTAAAAAGAAAATGTCAATAGAGAAAATAGGAACAATCTACAAATTAATAAACTGGAAAAGATCACGCTATTGCAGCTGGTTTAGTTAGCATAAATGAGGTAAGAAACCCCAGAGACACATCCTGAGGCACTGTTCTGTCTTCCAGAGTTCTTTTCTCAGCCTTATGCCCTGCTTTCCACAGTCTACTAAATCTGCTGACTAACGAGAGCATCAGGACCTCTGGACAACCAAAAATTGCTTCTGAATAAAGAAACTATGAATCTTTAGAAAATATTCAGTTTGGAGTAATTACAGAAGAAAACAACGTGCAGGAGGATGCTAAAAAGCATATTGTCATTAAGCAAAAGAAAAAAAAAAAAGCCAGAAATAGTGTCTTACCAAACAAATAAAAACATTGCAACTGTCAACACCCGTCTAGGAATGCTCAATAAATACCAATCCATTAAACTTTTTAATTCTATTTTTATGAAATTGTGACATTAAAACCCTATGGCAAATGACATGAAATAAAAACATATTCTTAGGTTATCATCTCTAAACCATTATAAACACAGGGACTGAGGGTAATAATGAGTAAATCTATACAAATGTATGCACACAGTGTTGGAGCAACAGTTTTTACAAAAACAAATATTCCAAACAAATCATAAAATTAAGCTTTTGGTAAAAAGTTACAGCTAATGGACTAAACTAAAAACATATTACAGTAAATGGTGTGAAAGTGATTTTATGAACTAATAGACCTAACATTTTAAATGGAGTTCAAATTGAGTTCATCTTAAATTTTATGAGTCATTAAACCATGTGGCATTTTATATCTTCTGATATTAGCTTGAACTCTGAAAATTAGAGTTTAAAAATCTGAAAACTTGGGATATAATGTGAATGTGTCATTTGAGGGGGAAATAACTTTTTTTATTCTTGTAGATATTAGAAGAGATTTGCCAGAAAAATAACTGGGGACAGCCAGTGTACCAGCTGCACTCTGCCATTGGACAAGACCAAAGACAACTATTCTTATACAAAATAACTATTCCTGCTCTAGCCAGCCAGAATCCTGCAATGTGCGTAACTTCTCCAAATTCCTTACCATTTTAGAGCAGGATACGCTTGTAAATTAAATGCACTTAGTCACCATCTAAACAAGATACTGAGGTCTACTACCTACTCATTTATCATTAAATGTAAGCATTGAGATGTATAGTTGGGATGTACCAGCCATGAAGCTGGCATATAAAGGCCCCCAAATTTCATATACACAATGAAGGTTGTGTAGTATCATCAACCATTGGAAAACAGTCAGTAGTGTAAAATGTAATAGAAATAAAAACTATAGCCCATTCTTGGCTGGGCGTGGTGGCTCATGTCTATAATCCCAGCACTTTGGGAGGCTGAGGCAGGTAGATCACTTGAGGTCAGGAGTTTGAGACCAGCCTGGCCAACATGGTGAAACCCCATCTCTACTAAAAATACAAAAATTAGCCGGGTGTGGTGGCAGGCGCCTGTAGTCGTAGTTACTCGGGAGGCTGATGAGATCGTGGTTGCTGAGATCGTGCCACTGCACTCCAACCTGGGCAATAGGGTGAGACTCCATTTCAAACAAACAAAGCTATAGCCCATTATTTCATCTGTGCAATGTTTAAGTTGAAGCATATGAAATTACCATTTTCATACATAATAAGACAATGGCCCATCATTTAATTTTGGACCAAAGATATGACCTCTCTGTTAGTGGATATCACCTCCTGAATTTTACCATGAGCCTGCATTTCTACATCTTCTAGAAACAATTTGTTTCACTTGTGCTTTAGAAAAGGCATGTAGTGAATTATTTGTATGTCCCAGGAATGTCATAAACCACTGATATTCTAGATCAATTTGTAAATATTCCTACATGCAACCTATGTTTAGAAGCTTTAATAGCAAACAGAATGTAAAACACCCACTCAAAAAACCACCATCCAGTCATTTTACAAAACTGATAGTACCTTAGGTTTTCACCTGACTCAGTTGTACCAGTTTAAAAATGCCTACCCTGACTGACTTGCTTTCCAGCCACCCTTTCACACCTCCGAAGCTGAGTGCCTATGTGGATGAAGCAAAGACATACGCAGCCGAATACACCCTGCAGACCCTGGGCATCCCCACTGATGGAGGTGATGCTGGCACCATGGCTACTGCTGCTACTGCTTTCCCAGGTATGTGAAAATTTGGCCAGAAATGGCGCCCTGCAGAGAGTATTTGGGAAACCCTTTTTTGGTACCACTGAATCATAGAAATGTTTGTGTACCCCACTTACAGCAATCTGACTTGCACCACCTTGGGACCAAAAAGAGTTTCCCAAATGAGTGACTCATTAAAACACAAGGCAAGAAAATCAAGCTGGGCAACAGAGTGGGTTCTGGTCTCGGCTCAGCTTTAAACTGCTGTGTGATCTTGAATGAGTCAGTCTCTCTGAGTCTCGTTTGTTTTGGTTTTTACTTTTAGTAAGAGACGTTGAAACTACCTATAGATATATGATGTTTATTGGAGCTCTTACTGTGTGCTAGGCACTCACCTAAATGGTCAGGAAGCATTATAATATCTTAGTAATGCTCATGATACCACCAAGAGTTAGGTTCCATCAGAAAGTCCAGTACACAAATGAAGAGCCCATGTATGAAAAGATTAAGTAATTTGGCCAATGGCAATTAGCTTTTCAGCAATTTTTTTCTCCCTCTCCAATCTTCAATCTGCTTTTATTAATTGGATTCCAAAAAAAGATTGTTTAAAGTCAAAAATTGTGTATATGAGAGTGAGAGACAGAGATCCTTTCAATATGCAAATGATCAGGACTCAACTTATTTGTTCTATAATTTTGGTCTGGGGCATATGCTGATTGCTTAAAGCAAAGCCTATCTGTGGATCAACAATGCGTTCAGAGGTCACATGTTAAAAGATTTGTCCCCATTTATTCTGTACCCACAACAAATGGTCATAATTAAAAATGAATCCTTTAGAGACTGAAGGGGACCAGGAAGAAAGTTGTTTAGGAAATTTTTTCTCAGATGAAAATTTTTATCCTTTTTTTTTTTTAGTAAAAGATTATTTCTATTGAAGAAATCTATCATTTTGACTTGTCATTGTGTCAGCATGTTCCACATAAGTCCAAATTAGAGCTCTAAGTATACCTAGAAACATGACATTCTTATCGATTAATTGATTCATATACTGGTCATGTGTAGGTGTGAGAAATTTTATATTCCTCACACCCACTGCACCTGGGGCTCATTCTCAGCATTTTGTTTTGTTTTGTTTTCTCAAAAGTTGTGAATATATCCTCCATTCTGGTCAGTGAGGCTAATATTAATGATGTTTCACATCTGAAAGTGACCTCAATTCTGGCTTTGTTTCTCTGTAAGAACATGGAGACGCTCTGTGGTGAGTCCCTCGGAGGTTACCAAGGTAACAGCTGACACTGCAGAGGGCAAGGTCCTTCCTGGGCAGTGCGGGGCCAGCAGCCGGTGCTTGCTTTCCATATTACAGGGTGTTTACATGTCCATGTACTCAGGACGCCTGCTAGGGCTTCTCAGTTCTTAGAGATAGTTGAGCCCCTGTCTTGCAGAAAGCTGCACCCCAAAGACACCTAACAAATGTACTATTAAACTAATGAGCCACTGTCAGAAGAATTTCAAAGTTTGCTTTCATTGGAAAGGATTTGCTTTTACCCAAGAATGTTTTATCTTATTCTCACCCCTATTGGCTTCTGTGAAAAGTTAAAAATATTTGGGGTATGAGTGTTGTCTGGGGAATGCCTAAGAATCTGAGAGCCTCTCATAACTTTGCTGTGGAGTCAAGCAAAGAATAATAGGCTCCAAGGGAAGAATCGGTTTGAAACCCAAACACCCTGGCACTTAACAAATTGACCAAGTTGAAAAAGAAAATTCAAAATCCCTAAAGGTAAAATCTGTGCCACAAACACATGCATGCACGTGTGCACACGCTCACACAATTATATTACTCACTTAGTTTAGAAATACTGTTTCCAAAATTATGAAAGTAACTGTTAACACATGTCTCCTATCCTTGGAAAATGGACCAAACTTCTCTAGTGCATTAATCAGCATTACTGACCAAAGTGAATGCGCCAAGAGTGGATTCAATTTTTGTTCAAAATAATCCAACCAGCTTCCTGCCACCACTTTCTGAGAAGCCACCAGAAAAAAATCAATGTGTCTGGGGTTGGCCAGGCTTCTACCGCACATAAACCAAATGAGGTTTAAAACAACAACGAAAAACAGGTGTCCATTTGTACTTAAGTATACTTCTCTCTTTCTCTTGTTATCTTTTACAATTTCTGGATCATCTCAGAAATACTCAGGTTTCTAGACTAAAACAATACAGAGAAATAATGCTTTAGATAGTAGCTAATATGCTCTCTTCTTCAAAAGTGAATGCTCATCCACTAGACACAATGCTAACATGAAAGCGCATAGATTCTTTTTTTAATTCTTGGATACTTTGGTTCTCTGAGGGGGAGAACCAGCATCAAGGCCTCTGAATACACCAAGCACAGGCTTGATGAGGGACTTGGGAGGTAGGAAGGTGCTTCTGCCATTCATAGTTAGATCTAAATATGGACAGGTTAGGCATTTGCTTTTAAGGTATTATGGAGAACTACATTTAACCTTTACAGTATTTCTCCTACTGATCTCCCAGTCTTTACACATCTTCTCGGGTAAAGGAAAATGTTTTAAATGTTTCATTTAGGCAGGTGTGGGGTTGCAGGAGAACCGGTCCCACAGAGCCCCACCTCCCCACATACCATGCCCAGCCAGCCCCTCAGTCACCTTTTCTCATTTATAAATTTGGAAACCTTCAAAACGTTATAAATCACAAGCTTTAATCAACTCAGCATCCTATTAAGTTTCTCTTTCTTGGGCCCTACCCCAAGCATCTTTAATTCTCTTAAGTATGAAGTGATTCTGACACAGGTGGTTGACCCCACTTTCGGGAACATTGTCCTAGAACTTTTTGAATGTGATTGAAAATCACTGAGTCCACATATTGGTCCTTAAGGGCACTTTTTAAAACATACATATTAACTTTTAGCTTTAAGTAATATGTTAGAAGTTCATATGTCTAAAAGAAGACAAATAAGCCAAAAGGGAGCAAATGTAAATTCCTTTCATGAAGTTTTCTCTGCCTCTTCCTCCAGGATATACTGTCCCTAATGCAACTGCACCTGTGTCTGCTGCCCAACTCAAGCAAGCGGTAACCCTTGGACAAGACTTAGCAGCATATACAACCTATGAGGTCTACCCAACTTTTGCAGTGACTGCTCGAGGGGATGGATATGGCACCTTCTGAAGATACTTTTTTAAGTTTAAGAATAAGACACACAAAACTCTATTAAAAAAAAAAAAAAAAACTCTAACTCGGTCCCCCAATGATCATAAATAATATCTTTCCTAAAGAAATGCCTTTCCAGAGACAGTATAGCTTATATCAATTGTAGAATCGTGAAGAACATTCGTCACTGTAGAATCAAAAGAACACAAGAACGTTATTTTGAAATGAAATCAAATGTTAAAGAGCATTTTGTTTAACAGAAAGCTGGAGAGCCACTGCCCCAAAAGTTGTTCTTCTAATGTTCCTGAGTGTTTGGGGAGCATGTTTACAAATCCTGCCAGGCTGGAGAGAGATCTTTTAGCTGGCAAGAGTTGGGAGGGACGGAGCAGACCTGGGCAGTCAGTAACAATCAAGGGAAGCCAAGTAAACTCCAGAGTCTTACCTCTGGCTCACAGCTGCTTTTGTGATACACAAAGTCACAAAGAGGAAAAGGGAAGGGAGGAGGCTGCTTTTCAAAATGCATGCAGCATGGCTCACTGTATGGGGCATGATTGCAGGGCTGAGCTCATGAAAGACTATCCAAGATTTTGTGGGTTCAACTTCTCTTCAGCCTGAAAATTCCATCCAGTCCATTTGTCACAGATCAGGATCTTCCTGTCCCCTGCAGCCCATGGGGACTTCCTAGAAATAGATATGATATGTTGTAGATATGGTCGAAACAAATACAGGCCCTATTGTTTATTCAGCTCATTAGTCCACACCTATTTTTCCCTAGAACTCCTACCTTTTCCAATAATCATGCCAACATGAAATGACCTTTTCTAATTTAAAATTTTTTGACTTGCTCATAGTGATTGATTTTCATCATCTCAGACTCATTTTTCTCCTACCTAATATCATAAAAAAGTAAATCAGATATACAGAATATAATTTATGATACTTCTTCCTTTCAGCAAATTGACTGAAAAGTCATTTTAAAGAGAGAAGTGCAGATTTGCTCTCATTTCTTTGATATTGTTGCAGTATCCACCCTACCAACTAGCAGAGACAGTTATATTAACTTGGGGTTAGCTTTGAATTATCTAACCCATTTATTTTAAATCTGCCAGGAAATCCTCTAACTTTCCTTCCTTTTTGTTTCAATAAGTATCAGGCAGCTTCACCATACCTGAGTCCTTTTGTCTTGAAGCTGCCACAGAAAAATCTTACATCAATCATTGCTGATTAGAAACTGTTTCAGACGATCAGCATGGGTGTTATTTACGAAATTCACCCTAGAGTCCTGGACCTCTTCTCCAGGAACATCTGATGATGAAGTGGGGGAGGGCAACGGCGCTTCAAAACCCGGAACTGAGGTAAAGAGAAGGCACTACTTTCTTGCCATACTTGTAAATATTGCTTTGTTCAAACATAAATAATCTAAGTCCAACACCAAATACCTGTTACTCCTACATCAGTTTCATTAGTGGTTTAAGACACAGTACTAGAATTTTCATTTTTTAAAATCCCTTGGCGGCCGGGCGCGGTGGCTCACGCCTGTAATCCCAGCACTTTGGGAGGCCGAGGTGGGCGGATCACGAGGTCAGGAGATCCAGACCATCCTTGCTAACACGGTGAAACCCGTCTCTACCAAAACTACAAAAATTAGCAGGGCGCGGTGGCGGGCACCTGTAGTCTCAGCTACACGGGAGGCTGAGGCAGGAGAATGGCGTGAACCCGGGAGGCGGAGCTTGCAGCGAGTGGAGATAGCGCCACTGCACTCCAGCCTGGGCGACAGAGCGAGACTCCGTCTCAACAAACAAACAAACAAACAAAAAAAAAAAATCCCTTGCCTTTACAAAAATTTACAGAACACAAAGGAAAACATAAACACAAAGATATGGAAAATTTTGTCAACTCCTTAATAGAATTCTGTGATCCAAACGCAGGCAAGATTCTAATCAAAATCAGGTAAATTTCAATCACAATCAGAAGTACTTGTAACATTTCAGTTGTCCTAACTCCAGTGAGATAACAAAGCCTCCAAGTCTACAGCTGAAACTCTGAAAGGCCCTGTGCTTTCTATTTTACATTTAGCTTCTAATATTTCCTAGGACAGTAGTTCCCAAAGTAGGCTGTACATTAGAATCTCCTGGAGAGCTTTTAAAAATGCTAATGCCAATATCATATCTCATAACATTTACACTAGAATTTCTTTGGATGGGTGCCTGGCATCAGTATTTTTTAATGATCCCTAGGTGATTTCAATGTGCACCTAGGTTCGGGAATTGCTATATTCTTGTATTTATACTCTATCTCTTAATTTCTTTTCCTTTTTATTTCACTTTTAAGTGCAAATAAAAAATCATCTAAGTTAAGACAAATAGCCAAATCATATTTGTCCCTTAAATAGTATGAATTTAAATATAACTTATGTAGGCTTCAAACTAACACTAAAAATGAGAAAGTAAAACAACCTTGTCCTAAAACAATCCTTAGATCCAAATTTACACTCCCCTATAGATCTGCTTTTATTCTCAAAGACAGTAATTACATTGACATAACAAATGCCCATTGGAGCAGGAAAATTTCTACTCCGTCTAAAAAGCATTCCAAATTGTAGGAGCAAAAGTTCTGATTTTCCTTAAAATCTTTGCAAATAAATAGCAAACGTTTTTTGTCTTGTCAATGCAAATTAGGTTTGATTTAAAGAAGTTTTAAATTTAATCAAAATAAAAAGATTAGTTAATACAGGAATCTCTTTATGAGAAAAAAATCATTATTTTGGATAAAGTCATAATTGCTTTTTTACAAGATTAAGAGCAGACACCTAAACATACAATAATACCAAAATATTGAGAAAATTACCACTGGAACACCATCTCAAGTTATCACACCATTTACCTCTTTGGAGTCAGTTTTCTACAAGTAGGTAGATGTGGTTTTGGTTTTTTTGCTAAAATTTTACCTTGTTTTAGTAATATCTAGGGAATACTTTGAATTCCATTAAAATAAATTCATAGAAAGTGTTAATGTGTCTACCATGCCATATGTTTATTTTTATTTTCCCCAAGTTAAGTAGATAAAGCAAGTCCTGCTACCGTAAGTTTAAAATTGTTAAGACAACGGGTTTTTTAAAATTGCTGGTAGAACCAAAGACTAATTCTGCATAAGGTTTATATTTTTAGACTTAAGATAGTAGCACCTATTTAATACCTTCATACCTTCTGCATCACTATCAATTTTTCTATAATTTCTTATTTGAATGCTTCCTAATTCCTTACAGAAAAAATTAAAACTAGTCAGCCAACCAGGTGATAATAACAAAACAATAATTTAGGAACATCCAGTAAATTTGAATTGGTTCTGTAAATTTTGGTAATTAATAGCTTATCGATAAAATCACCCTAATGTTGCTTAAGTATGAGGAAATCGATCAGCAATGAGATTAGGTATCTATTTTCTTTCCTATAAAAATCTGCCCCTTTTCAAATTGCTTTACTTCTCTCCTACTGCATTAGTAACAGCACCTTCAACTGCAACAACATATAATTCTCCTAGTTGACTAGGATATCCTCCAATCTGGTATCATGCCAAACAACACTGTGTTTGGGGAACAGCACCCAAAATGCTGCTAAAAAGCTACCTCATGTCAAGAAAATATGGATTTCAAAAAATACCTGGCACAGTGGCCCATGCCTATAACCCCAGTAGTTTGGGAGGCCAAGGCAGGAGGATTGCTGGAGGCCAGGAGTTCAAGACCAGCCTGAGCAACATGGAAAGACGCCTACCCCTCCAAAAAAAAATTTAATTGGCCAGGTGTGGTGTGGGCCTGTGGTCCCAGCTACTTGGGAAGCTGAGGCAGGAGGATTGCTGGAGTCCCGGAGGACAAGGCTGCAGTGAGCCATGTTCACATCGCTGCACTCCAGCCTGGGTGACAGAGCAAGACTCTGCCTTCAAAACAAGCAAAAATAAATATCTAACAAAAAGGGACCTGTTTCCAAATCACAGTTTCTTAACTTTTTCAAGGTGGAATAGAAATTAAACTATAAGTATATACTGATAACAGCTGTGCAGGAAATTGGTTTTTATTTTACTTAAAAGTTTTTTTTTAGAAAATAATATTATTCTGATTGCATAGATTAGCAAAATATTGCATCAATATAATTTTCCATTTTCATTAATTTTTGTTATATTCTAATGACTGTTTTTTTTGTTATTTTGTTGTTGTTGTTGTTTTGAGACGGAGTCTTGCTCTGTCGCCCAGGCTGGAGTGCAGTGGCCGGATCTCAGCTCACTGCAAGCTCCGCCTCCCGGGTTTTCGCCATTCTCCTGCCTCAGCCTCCGGAGTAGCTGGGACTACAGGCGTCCGCCACCTCGCCCGGCTAGTTTTTTTTTTTTTTGTATTTTTTAGTAGAGACGGGGTTTCACTGTGTTAGCCAGGATGGTCTCAATCTCCTGACCTCGTGATCCGCCCGTCTCGGCCTCCCAAAGTGCTGGGATTACAGGCTTGAGCCACCGCGCCCGGCCTAATGACTGTTTTATAATTCTGTCTTGGACAACTGGGCCACAATTCGAATGCACATAGATAGGGATGTTCTTAGGTGTGCCATTTGTAGAATAAAGGGCAATCAAGTTAATATTTGGGGTAAATTTTCATTGCACTTTAACCTATGAAGTTTGATAAAGTATATTATCATTGAACTACTCCAATACTAAGATTTCCTAAAAGTAAAAACTTACAAAAAAAAAAAAAAAATGAACAATGTGCTCAATAGTCACATGAAGTCATGATTATTCTCTTCTTGCATTCATATAAAAGTTCCCAGGGGGATGAAAATGTATCTAAAAATTATACTAGAAACTTGGCACTTTTATATATTGTAGATACACTTTCATATATTGTAAATACATCTGTTAAAGATAAAACTAAGTTTCTAACATAGGACTACAAGGAAACTTTGGATAAATATTTTTTAAAAAAGAATATTAATAGGATAACTTAACATTTTGTGTATACTCATTGGAAGACAGAAAGAAACTAGGCAGTAAATATTCCTACCTGACATGCAACCATTGTCAAATAGGTTTTGTTAAATTGTCAAATTTGATTTTGAAATTTTAGTTTACTCGAATAATATCTTGAAAATGCTCTGAATTTTGCTAGAACATATTCATAGAAAATGTAATGTATCTA